CCAGTCCAGAAGATGAAGACCGGTCAACGTTTAACAATTCCAGTGACAGAGCATGTTTCAATCTTCCTCCTAAAAAGCATATTGTCCTCCATGTTAAAGAGCTGTCCTTTATTCCAAGGTCAAGGCTTTCTACCTTTCAGAATCGTGTATGTTCATGTCTATGGAGGCCAGAGGTCAACGTCAGGTGTCTTTCTCTTTTGCCTTTCACCTTACTTGTTGAGCCAGAATTATATATACACACACATATATAAAATAAACATATATATGTATGTGTATATGTATATATAAAATTCTTTCTGGTGGTGGTGGGGTGAGCCGTGGTCTCATATATCCAAAGCTGGCCTCGAACTCAGAATCCTCCTGCCTCAGCCTCCCGAGTGCAGAGAGGGCAAGTCCTGCAGCTGGGAACTAGAATAGACCCGGCTCTTGCTTCCCTGCAGGGGCTTAGTCACACAGGAGGTAAGGACCAAGTTGGACTTGGGAGGTCGGCACAGTGCCCTGAGGCCGCCTAGGTTTGAGCCTTGAACTGCTCCACCCAGTGGAGCCAAGGCCGCTGTTTACATCGCAGGCCACACCCCCAACGCCCAGCGCGCAGCGCCATTGGATGGACGGCCCGTCGGTCTCCGGGGACTTTCCCAGGGGCGGGGCGTGGCCCCGGCATTTCCTGGTACCGACCCGAGCCTAGGGCTGCTGAGTCTGGCTCGGTGCCCCGAAGCTGTCGTCCTAGGGTGAGCGGGGCCGCCGGGGGATGGGCAGGCGGGAGGAGACAGGGGCCTGCGCGGGGCGCGAGGGCTAGTGGCGGGAGCCCCGGAGTCGTGAGGCGTCTGCGTCTCCGTCGTCAGGCTTCAGAGGCTCCCGGCCCGGGGAGCTAGCCGGGCGCGCATGCGCACCGCCTGCGGAGCGCGCCTGGGACCGGCCTGCGGACCCCAACGTCCAACGAGCAAAGTTTAGGTAGCGGTGTGCAGACGTCGTAATGACGAAAATCATCATCGTAGCCACGCTTATTGGTCAATTTCCAGATGGTCTTTTCTTGTTTGTTTTGAGACAAGGTCTCGCTGTGTAGTACTCTCTGGTCTGGAATTCGCTATATAAAACAGGTTGGCCTCGAACTCACAGAGACCCTCCTGTTTTATTCCCGAGTGCGAGGATAAAAGGCGTGCAGCCAAGTGTTGATCTAAACTTTTAGTGTGAAACTCATCCAACTGTGACATTCATTCCAAGCATGACTGTTACTTCTTTTAAAAATACATTTATTTATTGTTTCATGGTAAGGTTGTGGACAGACAACTTGCCTGAGTCATTTTTCTTTTTCCAAACCTTGTGGGTTCCCGCCAGGGACTAAACTCAGGTGCTCAGGCTCAGTGGCCAGCGTCTTTACTGGCCATCTAGCCAACCCTGCTCCATGAATGTTACTTTATATCTTCCCCTCACCAGTGAGGAGCACAGGCAGCTTGCAGATTGTTAATCACACAACTAGTGAATTGCAAAGTCGAGATTCGAACCCAAATGTTGGGCTGCAAAGCCCCCTACTCCATCCTTAACGAGCTCCTTTCACACAGCCTGGGAGGCATTTGCGTACACAGGTGCCGGGTAGATACAGTACGTTCCTGGGAATGATGATGGAGGGATAGTTTTTATGCGTTGGGCTGTGTTCACCGTGGGAAGTTTCTGTGCCTCTGTGTGAGATCATGTGTATGGAAGTGGTTTGCTGTGCATGTATTCATCTTGTGCCGGGCAGTGGGTGGGAATTTGGTGCTGTCAGTGAGGAACTGTTTTGGTAAAAGGGAGGGAGGGACTTTCAGGGATGAAGCAAAAGTCTGGGCAGTAGCCGTCCCCACCCCCTTGCTGAATGACAGTGTGGGAAACGTGTGGATTCCTGATGCATCATTTTGATTTCACAGTCAGTCAAAGTGGGATTTGATCAGCTCTTACTCATGCTACCAACAATGAGGGGTGTGGTGGAGGGGAATTCAGACTCATGAGTGGACAGTCAGGGGACTCTCAGAATGGTTTTTTGGTCCTTGACGGAGGACATTGTGTTAGGAGAGCGGAATACTCCCACTAACTAAGCAGGCTCAGTGTCCCTTTGTCCCTAGCAAATGGCCTGTGAAACTAAGCCATAATGATAATTAGTAACTTTACACTTATGAGAGGAGCTTTTAAAACTTAATTTCCTCCTTTCTTTCTTTTGCTTTTTCTTTCTTCTTTTTTCTCTCTTCTTCCTTTCTTTTTTCTTCTTTTTCTTCTTTCTTCTCTCTCTCTCTCTCTCTCTCTCTCTCTCTCTCTCTCTCTCTCTCTTTCTCTCTCTCTCTCTCTCTCTCTCTTTCTTTTTTTCAGACAGAATCTTGTAGTCCAGGCTGACACTCTGTGGCTACAATGACCTGGAACTCCTGGTCCTCCTACCTCTACCTGCTGGGATTGCAGGGATGTTCCACCATGCCTGGTTCTCGTATGTTCTTTCTGACCACCCTGATAGTAGTGTTCAGGTTTAGAAGTCATCCGTGTTCAGCTAGGCCTTCGCTGTTGTTGGTTTTTAGTTTTACGTGTGTTTGTCTGTGCTCCTATGGGGGCGAGTGCACGCTAGGATGTCCATGCCCACGTGGAGGTCCGAGGACAACTTGCAGGACTTGGCCGTTTCCTTCTCCCAGGGGGGTTTCGGGGCTTGAACTCGGGTTGTTGGGCTTGGTGGCAAACCCTTCACTCACTGAACCATCTCAACAGTTCTCAACTCTGTTGTTTTAAGTTATAACAGGGTCTCCATAGCCCAGGCTGGACTTGGATTTACTTGTAGCCAAGGATGACCTTGAACTTCTGGTCCTTCTCCATCCACTTGAGTGCTGGGATTAGAGGCCTACCCTACAGTGCCTGGTTTATGTGGTACTGGGGACTGAACCCAGGGCTTTATTCACGCTAGGCAAGCACCCTACCAGCTGAGCTACACCCCTTTCCCCAAGGACCCTCTTCTTCTTTCACTAGCTTAGACTGTCATCATTGCTGTGTCCTTGGAAAATATGTAGGGCCCAGCCCTCTATGGACACATTTAATCTTGTCCCTCAGAGCGACAGACAGATGGGAGTGTTCTGCGTACTTATGTGTACGATCGTGTTGTCCCCTCCACATGGGTGTCCTGTGAGTGTGGGCACAGTATAGCTGGGGGTGGGTGCCTGTCCCTGGATGCCCATAGCAGCTCCCTTGGGGCCCCAGGAAGCCATGGGTCTGACTCATTCCTTCACCCCCAGTGCTGCTGTGTCTCTGGCCCGGATGTCCTGGCTGGGTCAGGCCGACCTGGTTTGGGTCTGATGGTGCTCTGAGAGGTTGTCTGTCTGGCTCCCTCCGCTGGTTACCGGCTCCCCTCTGTGCCCACTGTGATTCCGCAGGCCGCAGGCCGCACTGCCTGCTGTTTCCAGCTGGGTGCGCTCAGCTTGTTCTCATGCTGACTCCCCACACCTGCCTTCCCAGCGCCCAGAACTCAGTTCCCAGCCCTTCCTTCCCATGGCTGCTTTTTCCTTATCTGTCGAGTCTCAGCTCAAATGTCACCTTCTCAGAGGGGGCCTTCCCGCTTCTTCCTATGCAAAATAGCCCCCCTTTCACTTTCTGTCATATTACTACTTTTTTTTTTTTCATTCGTTTATCATGATCTAAAATAAGTTTATGTGTGCACCAAATGTAGTGTGCTGGTGCAGGCTTTTGCTCCCTGGGCTCAGGAGGCAGAGGAAGGCAGGTCTCTTGAGTTCAAGGCCCGCCTGGTCCACAGAGTGAGTTCCAGGATGGATCGCTGGAGGGTATGTTTTCTGATGTTGCTGTGAGCTTTCAGCTGGGAGGTGTTCAGGCCTCACCTGTCGTGAGGGCCTGGCTTCGCCTTTCTGTCCTTCTGGCTGAGAGCTCTTCCTGACAGCATCAGGAGCCAGTGGACAGTGACTAAGTCTAGCCATTGTGGATATAGCTAGGGTGTGAAGTCATCTGGGGGCACCTGAGGGCTAAGAGGGGCTCCCAGAGGGCGATGGCGTTAAGGCCCTAGAAAGATGGCGATGTACAGAGTAGGGGTTGGGGTCTGAGTGGCCATGGCAGATATGGAGTGAAGCTGTGCTTATCTGGGGAGTTGTCCGCTGGACTGAGCAAGACCCCCAAAGACCCCAGGCACGGGAGTGTCTGTCTGGACACTCCAATGGCTGGGCTGCAGCAGCCGAGCTGATGGGTGCCAGCGTTGGGTGCCAGGCTGGTGAAGTCTCCACCCCACTGTGACAGCTCCTGGTGTAGACCAGGTGGGTGCTGCATCCCTTGCTTCCTCACCTGACTCCAAGAGATGGCAGTATTACCCTGCAGCATGGTGGGAGATCTCTGTGCGTACTGGCCGTGGGTATTGCTCAGGCTGTTGGAATCTGAGCCACAGGTGGCAAGGGACCCCACTTCCCAGGCTTCTGAATAACCTACCTCCAGCCCTCTACTGACCTGTGTCTGCGCTCTCGGAATGACTTGTCCTTTGCTCTGTCCCAGGTGTTGGGCGTAGGATGTGGCTCCATTAGTGGAGCACTTACCTGATGTGAGTGAATTCTGCTTCCATTCCGTGCTGCATAAATCAGGCATGTTAGTGAACGCCTATAACTCCAGCTCTCAGAAGGTGGTGGCAAGAGAGCCAGAAGTCCAGGATCATTCTTTGCTAATGTTTTAAGTTCAAGGCCAGACTCTGTCTCAAAACTCCAAATGAAATGCATACTCCAGATGGTGAAATCCAGCCATTGGACCCTCCTTGTCCACTCATTGGGTGGGTGGTCCTCGTCGGCTCCGCTGGGCCAGGTCTCCTTCTGCCTCCCTGCTGATGTCCCCTGTGTGCCCCTTGTCTCTCAGGAGGGGTTGTCACATCTCCAGCCACAGGCAGACCTTGGCAGCCAGCAGGCTGCTGCAGGAAATTAGTTCTCTGTGTTCTTCCCGTGACCTGCACTGGACGGACGGTCACCCCAGTGACTGGGAAGGGTGACTGCTGAGGAGCGTCGGGCTCCTTTCTGATGGCTGTCCCTGCAGGGCTGCCTTCCCTCACTGACCTTGTCCCCAGACTGTTCCCTGAGCTGTGGGGCATTTTCTCTGCAGAGCACAAGGATGGACAGACCACTGCCTCAGCCTTGGCAGGTGAGTGGGGGTAGAGATGAGGAGGTACTGGAGCCAGAGTCGGCCTTTGTAGGGTGGAGGAGCCTTTAAGTGAGGGGCCTCAGTTTGGTCCCCACCCCTTCTATAACTCCCCTGCTCTAGGTCCCTCAGCCCTGATTGATCTTCACCCGGCTAGCCTCGGCTCACCACCAGTCACTGTGTTTTTTGAGACAGGCTCTCTCCCCCTGGCCTGAGACTCACCAATTAGGCTCGACTAGCTGGCTAGTCAGTTCTGGGGATTTACCCGTGTCCACCTCCTCCTCAGCTCTGGGGTTGCAGCCTGTACCCCAGGCTGGCCTTGCTCTCATGCCAGGATTGCTGGTGTGGGCCGTCATGCTGGGCTTCTGGCTTTTTAAATTTATTATTACATTGATTTAGTGTGTGTCTGTGACAGTGGAGGACAACTTATGAAGGAGTCCGCTCTCTCCCTCTGTCATGTGGGTGGGATCAAAGTCAGGCCGTCAGTGTAGGGAGCAAGCGCCTCTACCCGCTCAGCCATCTCACTAGCATCCCCCCCAACGACCCCCCCCCACCATCAGTTTCTCACACCCCCGCCCCGCGCCCCTACCCCTTGTAAATGTGTGTTCTGAGGCTCAAATGAAGGTTTTCATGCTCCTGTGGTAGCACTTTAATGACTGAGCCCTCTCCCCAGCCCTCTGTTGTGTTTCTTGCGACCTTAGCACGAACGTGTGCGTCTCTGACCAGTGTGTAACGTGGTTGTATGTTGTAAGATGTGCTCTGTGCCCCCTCACTGTCCCGTTCCCACACAGCTCGCATATGAAAGAGAGCCGTCCACGTTTGTATCTGCTGCACCATTCATTTTCACTCCCCAGGCATCTCCACCCTGTATTGATCCGTTTTTCCTCCTTTTGTGGGCTGTGTGCTGCCCTTGGAGATGAGCATCTGGGGTCTCTTCCTGAGGCAGCCTTCCTTTCTCTGGCCCTTTCATAGCCATGGTGACTCCTGTTTGGGTTTCACATTAAGGTGTGTAGACAGCTCTGTGGTTCCTACTGGGTTCACACAGCATTTCCCATAGGGAAAGCAAAACGATCGGCCTTGGGGAGGCAGCAGAGCCAGGCTTGGGTCTGAAATTCTCTCCCCACCATATTTGGCATAAGGAGAATTCACAAAAAACCGGCATCTTCCTCTGAGAGGGGAGTTACAGGGTTGCATAAGCCAGCTGTGGCATTTGGCCCTGAGAGACAGGCTACTCCCAACACCGTCCTTTCTGTCCTAAGATTGGCTTATTCTCAGCTCAGAGTCGAGGCCACCCTGGCTCAGTGACATCCCTTGTCAGTCCTGGGCCCTCGCTGAGGGGAGGAATGTGGGCATGAAGGTGACAGCATTGTCGAGGACACAGCCGTCCTCTAAGGAGGACAGGTCTGCTTTGCTGCACAGTTTTGGTGGTTTGGGCACCGCTCCTGGCCATCTGTGATTGCCTTGGGCCTACGGTAAGTCAGCATAGCACTTGGGCAGGGGTGGAGAGCACATGAGGAGCGTCACTCCCCTCCTCAGTCATGAAGCAGGAAGAAAAGGGAGAACGAGGCACCCTGGAATCAAGCTTTGTAACATGTGGGGCCTTGGGGGACGTTCACAACTTTAGCAGAGACTTTTTCATGTATGTGTCCCAGCTGTAAGAAACACGTGGATGCCAGGGCTCTGCCAGCAGATGTATAGTATCTGAAAGGGTGGAAGCCAAAGTCCCCGTGTGTCTGATCACGAGGCAATACCTGAGTGTTGTGTCCAGTTCCAGGGCCTGCTGCAGCTAGAACAGCGGATTGGCAGATGGTGGGGCAATGCCAGGAACAAGGCTCCGAGGCAAGCCCTGAGGTTCCAGACTTTTGGGGCTGGCGTGGGAGGAGTGACATCTTGCTCCTTCCCTTGGGACCCAGCATATAAAGGCCATCGGAGGTAGAATTGGGAACACCGTTGTGCCGTGGGCCAAATCCAGTCTTTCAGAACCCCGTCTCTGCTGCCTTCCAGCCTGAGATGCTGAGCCCAGGTGACTGCAGGTCAGGGCAGACAGAGATGGAAGCCAGGGCCTGGGCTCTTGTGGGATTCTGCCTCTCTCCTCCCTGGGCACTGGAAGCTGGATTATTTGTTGACACACAACAAGCTGTGTATCCTCAGGCAGAGAGCTTAACCCCTCTGAGTCTGCTCCCACATGCTATCTGGCAGGTGGATTGACCTCCTGGCTGGAAAGCAGGGATAGCACATTTAGCTCTGGGTGAGGTGATGTGTGTGAGAGTTCAGCTAGCGCTTGGCACATGGTGGAGCTGAACTAACCATTTCATTTCCTTTCCTCACCCTTCTGAGTGCCGCTGTGTATATCGTTTTTACCCAGCTGACCTTCCAGCTCGGGGGTCAGGCAAGTGCTGTGAACCCTGTACAAGGGACACTAGGGACTCCCTCTGTAGTGACTCAACACAGGAGAGGGAAGAGGGTCCAGGGAGGGGTGTGTGCTGCTGGAGGGACACAGTCCCCAGGTTTGGCTGGAGCCTGGCATGTCTTGTAGTAGCTGGGCCTGCAAAGAGCCATCAGCCCAAGGCCTTTGCTTCCTTCCTTTCTCTCTGTGTCTGTCTGTCTGTCTGTCTGTCTGTCTCTCTCTCTCTCTCTCTCTCTCTGTGTCCGTGTGTGTGTCCGTGTGTGTGTCCGTGTCCCTGAGAATAAACTCATGGGTAGACTGCTGAATTGAGAATCCCCCAGGCTACTGTAGAGGCTAGAGCTGGGAACAGATGATAATTCTGTTAAGGTCAGCTAGGGATGGGCTGTGGAAGTAGTAATCCTGAACTGTTAGAACTAGAAAGAACTTTAGAGAATGTCCGGTCCAGTTAAGCATGGTGGCACATGCCTGTGATCCACTAGAGAAGTGGAGGCAGGAGAATCAGGAATTCAGCATTGTCCTTGGCTATGTAGGGAGTTAAGGCTAGCCTGGGCTACATGAGACCCTATATATAAAAAAAAAAGCTAGGTATAGTGGCACATGGCTATATCTCAAGACTCAGAAGGCACAGGGAGGTCTGTGAGTTTGAGGCTAGCTACATAGTAAGATCCTGTCTCAAACACTAAGACCAGCTGGGATGTATATGAGCGACAGAGTGCTTGCTTACCATGTGGGTTCCATCCTCAGCACCACAGTACCCTATAAATAGGAGGGCTTGGGGAAATAAAGTGCTTGCTCCACCAACATGAAAGGGACTGAGTTTGATTTCTAGAACCCACATTAAAAAAACAGATGGACACGGCACCTCATACCTGTATTCCCAGTGCTGTGGAGGAGGAGGAGAAGGAGCCAGGCAGATCCCTGGGGGTTCCTTGGCTGCCCAGCCTAGCCAAATCATTGAACCTACAGGTTCCAGTGAGAGACCCTGCCTCAAAAAAAGAAAGTAGACAGCTCCTGAGGAATGACACAGAAGGTTGACCCTTCAGTGCATGCACACACACCAGTACACACACACACACACCAGTACACACACACACACACACACACACACACACACACACACACCTGTGTACACACACACAAAGGCAAAATAAAAACCAGCCAAGGATGGAGTGTCAGGGGACAGTTCTGAGGTCAACTGGGCACAGTGGTGGGATCCCCTTGCCCTTTTGCTGAATACCTACAGTGTGCTGCATGCTGAGCTGGGAACCACTTACTCATTATATTGGGTATTTCATCGTGAAACATGTTTTCTCGTTGAGTAAATCATGTTTGGGAAATAAAGTCAGAAGTTCCCAATTCTACCACTCACCACTACACACAGACACGCCATTGAATGTCTTCCCCTTAGCCTGGTGGGTTTTCATATTCCTGTTTTACAGATGAGCAGCTGGGTCCCAGAATGGATAAGTGACTGGCCCAGCATCCCACAGCTGCAGGGAGGACAGAGCTGGGCCTGGTACAGGTGAGGCCCCAGGGTGCAGTGTGATGCACAAGAGCATGCCAGTGCATGGCCTGTGTCATGGTGGAACCTTCTTCCTGATTCTACAGTTGTACATCTATACATCTTGTATTCCATCTCCTTTGCTCTCTATCCTGCTCTTCCTCTCCAGGCTTGGGTCCCTCCCATCCTTTGGCCATTAGAATGGCACCCAGCTTTATCTAGTCAGGCAGCTTCTGTCTCATCCAGGCTCCCTCCCCTTGCATAAGAGGACAGGAGACCAAGGTCATAGATCAGAGGAGGAGGCAGGCCTTTTTATTCTTCTGAGCTTCCTTTGTCCCTGTGTTCTGGCCACACCTGCTGACATAGCTCACAGCTCTGCCTCTGCTGAGGACATAGACCTTTGCCACCATGATGTGATGTGCTGGAGCCATTCCTTTGGTGCCAAGAGACCTTTGCTGCCTCCAGGGCTGTGGGGTGTAGCTGTCCCCGGATACAGCCAGGAACCAGAGACATTGTGGGGCTTAAGTCCCCAGGCTGAGCTTGGTGATCTTGTCCCTCAACCATGTCTTCTCCCCAGGGCTTCTGGGACAGTCAGGTGAAAGAATGCCTGAGACTTCGTGCTTTATAAATGCGAGTGACTATGCAAATGAGCATGACTTTAGGGGTCGTGGAGCCTTTTCCCTGTGGTTCAGTACCCTATCCTTCCTGACCTGCACCCACCTCCTCAGCCATTAGCACATGGCTGTGGCAAGGCAGCCTTAGACAATCAGGAGCTGAGTGTGAATCTAGCGTGGCTCTGGCCCTTCCATCCCTCTCTTCCAGAAGTGGGTCAGGAATGGGGGTCCACTCTACGGCCTCAGCCGCGCTCCAGCCCCATGTATGCCCCTAGCTGCTCCCCAGCCACAGTGCGTTCAGAGTCACAGCATCCTCATCACATGCTCTGAGCCTGTGGGCTGACCTGTGAGTTTGGGTCCTTTTCTGTCCTCAAACCAGGCCTCTCTAGTTCCATCACATAGCCAGATCTAGTCCAGGGAGGGACATGGGGGGCATACCTAGAAGGTGTGAGCTGGCTGCCTCTTTCTCAGTGTCTGTCTTTGGTTTGGGCAAGGTGTTGGTGGCACCTTGCAGAAGGCCCCTTGCTGAATGGTGCCATCTGTATAGGTGGCCACTACAGCTTCCTCCTGGGCCCTGGTTAATAGAGAGTCTGCAGCCAGACCCACAAGGAAATAGGCCTTTTCGTGGCCTTGGCCTCCCAGCTCCAGGCCCGGCGTGGCTCCAGGGGAGAATCACATGAAGGCAGGCCCTGATCTTCCTATCTGTCCCCTGCTGTGGTCTCTGGGGACCGCACTATCTTCTCTTGGCAGCTTCTCAGTCTCCAGCAGTGCCCTCTGCCCGGGGGTGAGATTGGCTTTGTTGTATTGGGAGAGCCCTCCTGGTGCTAGTCCTTGGAGGTCCCCTGTGGTGATATATTGTGTATATCTGGAGATCAGAGGACAGAGCCAGCCACTAGATTAGACATAGAGGCCAGACAGTGGTGGCACATACCCTTAATGTATCACTCAGGAGACAGAGATCCATCTACATCTCTGTGAGTTCAAGGCCACACTGGGAACAGAGCCAGGCTTGGTGGCACACACCTTTAATCCCAACACTTGAGACCTCATGTCTTTGCTTGGAAAGAACACACGCCTTTAATCCCAGGAAGTAAGATGGCAGGGCAGAGAAAGGTACAGAAGGCCTGAGGAGACAGGAACTCACTGAGGATTTTGTAGAGGTAAGAACTTGTGGCTGGCTTGCTCAGCTTCTCTGATCTTTCAGCTTTCACTCCAGTGTCTGGCTCCAGGTTTTTTATTAAGACCATTTAGCAGTTCGTGTTACATCCCCCCCACCCCCGGATCATTGCACACCATCAGAAGCCGTGCTGGAAGTGTACTAGCCCCTGGTCCAGAGCTTCGCTGGAAGCCCCTCAGCTCTCACCGCTTTCCTCCTGGCATCTCTCAGGCCACTCCTTCCTGGGGTTCCTCCTGAGTCTGCTACCTTGCAGCGAGCCTGACCCCTGCCCCAGCTCGGCCATTCCTCTGTCCTCTCTGGTCATGTTTCCTATGAACCCCTTGCTTGTCAGCCCCTGTATACCAGTTTGCCACCTGTCTCCGCATCTCTGGGCGGTAGTGCGAGGGTCTAGTTTTGATTCTAGAAGTGTTGGCCGGCACCCTGCTACCGTGCACAGTGGTGGTGGCTGGGCTGGCTGGCTGGCTGGTTTCAACATGGGCTCTTGGGAGGTGGGGTAAGTCCTTTCAGGCTCTGGGCCTTGAAATTAGCGGTATGTGTTGGACCTGTGGGATCACTGCTTTCTGAAGAAGCCCTGGCCTTGGTCTCTGCCTCCGTGGAGTTTCTGTGTACTGAAAAAGCCACACGGAGAAGAAAGTGACCAAACTGCCCCATAACAGTGACTCTGAGTCTACTGTGAACCCTAGGGAGTGGGGCCAGGAACCAGGCCACCTACAGCTACTTGCCACTCAGGGTGGCTCCAGCCTCAGTTTCCCCATTTCCTCCCTTTGGGATGACCCTCCTTCCTTTGCTGGTGACAGGAACACAGAGACATGTAAAGCCTGTTTCTGCCCAGGAAGGGGTTAGGCTAATGGACAGACGTTGGCTCCAGCCGGGTGCAGTCACGTGGTGACAAGCGTAGGTGAGCAGAGGAGGACCCTCATGTGGACTGGTGGTCTGAGCGTCCAGCTGTCTGCCTAGTGCTTCACCCACACTGTCTCCTTTCGCTCAACGGCGCATCAGTGTTTACCATTCTGCAGTGTGTGCTGACCTTTCAGAAAAAAATCCCTCCTAGCCAGCCATGTGGGTGTGTGGGCAGCTGTCCTTTGCCTCACAGGGCCCAGCGGGGAGCCGGTACCTCTCGAAGTGGGTGTTCAGCTGGTGTTTGTCAGCCTTGGGGTGGGGTGGGGTGGGGTGTTTGTCACAGCTTCATTTTTTCCTTCTGGCCCAGTGTGTTCTACAGATACCCTTGGTAAAGGGAGCTGATGGCTTCTGGGCTGTGGCTGTGGCTGTGTTGGTGGGACTGGTCCAGTGGACAAGGCCCTGCTCCGTCCCCAGCATAAGGCTGATGGCTGCCAGGCATGGTGGTGCACACCTTTAATCCCAGCACTTGGGAACTTGGGAGGCAGAGGCAGGTGGATCTCTGTGAGTTCGAGGCCAGCCTGGTCTACAAAGCGAGTTCCGGGACAGCCAGGGCTACACAGAGAGACATTGTCTCAAAAAAACCTAAAAAGAACAAAAAAAAAAAAAAAAAAAAAGGTTGATGGTTCTTCGTACACTGAAGGAAACCGCTAGAGCAGAGCAGTGGTTCTTGCTGCAAGCCGCAGGAAAATGTAATGGAATTCAGCTGCTATCACAAAAGCTACTACTTGGAAAGGTCAAGGACTTTTCCCAAGGTCAAGCCATGGCTTAAGAAGTCTTGGTGATATTTTAGCTTTTGTATATAAATTAATGATTCCTGCAGTGATTTCCTTGTATGCTATGTATGCTTCTAAGAACTCCTAACTGTATTTTATCTGAAATACCTATCAAGCATCCAAGGCCGAACCATCTCCTGAATTAAGGCAAATTAAACTCAGACCCTCCTTTCTTATATAGCCTTAGTGGTATTTATACTATAGACTCCTAACATTTACCTCACCACCTCTAGGAATGTAGTTTGAGCACATAAATTCCTGTTTTCTGATATATTAACAGATTTTAGCTCTTAGTTGACCTCCTCCTTTACCACTCCCCTTTTGGGTTGTAAAAGAAAGCTGGGCATGGTGGTACACACCTTTAATCCCAGCACTTGGGGAGACAGAGGCAGGCGGATCTCTGAGTTCGAGGCCAGCCTGTTCTACAGAGCAAGTTTCATTCAGGACAGGTTTCAAAGCTACACAGAGAAACCCTGTCTCAAAAAGCAAACAAACAAAGCCTGACGGTCACTGCCTGAGGAAAACTCTTGTCTGCCTTTATGGCCTTGGGAGAATTCAAGCCTGGTGACCTTGCTTTAGCTAGAGCATTGCTATTGCATGGGTACAGAACTGTAAACCTCAGAGGCTTAGAGAGGATTTTGACTGGAGAAGTTTTTTGACTTGAGAACTAGATGGAGAACTAGAAGAATGAGATGGAAGGTGAGGAAGAGCCAGATGGGGAAGAACAAGATGAGAAAGACCAAGATGGGACAGAGCTAAGAAGGGAGAATTAAGATAGAACTTAGAGGGGACAGCAGATAAATGTAGAGAGAAATCAGGCAAGAAAGGAGCTAGGCATGAGAACAGAACTGAAGCTGTGTAGACAGAATTTTATCCCAGAGGAATAAAGTAGACAGACTAAAGAGCTTGGTGTACTTAGATTCTTTTCCTGAAAACAATTCGCGCTGTTCGTAGCTTCTCTTCTGGGCCCCTGGGAAGAAGATTATTAAGGCTGGACCATAATAATATTCAAGATTCTCAACCTGTGGGTCATGACCCATTGGAGGCTAACAACCCTTTCACAAGGGTTACCAAAAACCATCTGAAAACACAGATATTTATATTATGATTCATGACAGTAGCAAAATTACAGTTATGAAGTAGCAATGAAAATAATTTCATGGTTGCAGGTCACCACAACATGAGGAACTGTATTAAAGGGCCACAGCATTAGGAAGGTGGAGAACCACTGAGCTAGAGGCTATTCAAGTGGCCTGAGACTACCCTACAAATGGGCTTGAACTCTGCCATTCTGGCCCGTGTTAAGGGAGCTATGGGTCCCCACCATGTGTATCTAGCAGGGGTAGGAACTGCGGACCTTCCAGGCAAAGCTCTGCATCTGATGCCCACACACTGGCCTTGCCTCCTGGCTGAAGTACTTAGGCTCAGCGGCCTCTGTTGCTGATTTATAAAGTGAGGATCACTGGGCCCCCAACAGAATGCATCAGACAAAACATGCAATTGGCACGTGGTGGTGAAGTCACTGTCACCAACCCTGCCGCATGCTTGGCTTTAGTGGACAGTGGGGAGGTCGAAAGAGCTGTTGAGGTTCTTACTGTGGGCTGATGATCTTGGGAGGCAGTTTCGGTACCCCCAAATCCTGAGTTTCCTATTCCCCATGGAAGTCTTTGGAGTTATAGCCCACCACCCCAGACTGGTAACTTGCACCCAGACCAGTACCCCATACCCAGAGTCCTATCCAGCATCCAAACCCCAGAGGTTGTTGTTGAATGAATGCAGGGATGAATGAATGAAGGCTACTAAGCCACAGGAGTCTACAGTACTAGCAGAGTGGTTTCACATGAAATAAAGCCGATAAACAACAACTTACAGCAGGAAATGTGCTCCACAGTAGTGCGATGGGAAATTCTTCTGCTTAAAACTGAATGGGACGGAGCAGTCATGACCTGAGACCCAGGGAGGAGGTTGACAGCGTGTTAGACCCTAACCAGGGTCTCTTCCTTACCCTAGAGATCATTGTTTGAGTTTACGGCTTTCGTTTCCCCTCCCGGAGAGGGAGAGGAGCTCCCCCAGCCCCATAGTGGGTTTGTGGCCAAGCCATTTACTCAAGTGCTGTATGTTCTGGGTGTTTACTTTATCACTGGTATGCAATAGGTATTGGGAAGGGCCAAGCAGGCAGCACTCAGGCCCCTCCTGACTCCTTCCGGGTTCTCTGTCACACCCGGAAGTCCATTTTACCGGCCTTGCAGATGAGCCACAGTGCGGCTGCCGCGCTGGTGGCTCTCCTAGAATCAGAACGTGTGCATCGAAGGAGGTGTCCTCTGCAGTGCTGGTCAGACCAGCCTGACCCAGTGAGGTGTTCCGTGCTGGGTCGCGGGGACTGCTTTTTGGAGCTGTGGCAGACTAGAACATCATCGTCCCCAGAAAAGATGACTTAAGGGCCTGGCCAGCCCTCTGATGTCTGCCATTGTCCCTACAGCCAGGTGGCCGTCTCGGCAGGGGTTGAGCTACCCTCATGGAAGGGAGAGGACCCTACCGGATCTACGACCCAGGGGGCAGCACGCCTCTGGGAGAGGCATCAGCAGCTTTTGAACGCCTAGTGGTGGAGAATACCCGGCTGAAGGGGAAAATACAAGGGATAAAGACGTTAGGTAAAGCAGACCGTGCCCCTTCCCCTGCCCCTCCTCCCGCAGCCTGCAATGCCAGCCCCCTCACAAAGGCTGGCAGGTGCCTCTGCCCATCACGCTGCTGTCCCCGTGACCCAGTGGTGGCCCCTGCCATCTTTGCATTCTGTAGCCTGGTGATGGCATTCCCAGCCCTGACTTCTCCCACCCCAAAGCGTGTCCTTGAGGGACCAAGAAGGAAGCATGCAGTGGGAGAGGAGTTCAAGGCCCAGTTTGTGGACCTGGAGCCAGAATGGAGAAGTGAAGTATGCGAGATGAGGAGAGCCAGTCAGTGTGCCAGGGCAGCCCCAAAACCCAGGGCTTGGATGCCAGGCCGGGAGCAGAGCTGGCCCAGAGCTCAGTGCAGCAGGGCCCTCGGCCCCGTTCCTCCAGCTTCTGCCCAGGCTCTCCCCACTGTCCAGCCACCCCCCCCCCATCCTCGCCCACCCCTGACACTGCACAGCATGCTTCTCCTTGGTGCAGAGCCTCCCCTTACTTCCTGTCTTCACACTCTGTCTGGAAGTCACTTTCTCTGTGGTCACGCTTGGTGTGGAGGGCCTGGCACCCCGGCTTTCCAAGTGTTTTCTCCTTGCTTGGCAGAACCCACGTGGGATAGTGGTGGGTGGGGGTAGGGAGTTTTCCTTTCTCCACCTGCAGAAGGGAAACTGAGGCCTAGGATGCAGGCAGTCCCTCAAGAACCCCTCACTTTCTGCACGGGGGGGAGCAGATCTGAAGGGAGAGGTGGGCAGGAAGAAGAGGCCAGAGGTAGGGCGTTTCCTTGGGCTCCACTGCCAGACTCTTCTTACGGTGGCCTGTTTGGGGCAGGGGGACAGCACAAGCCTGGACTTAGAGCCCACGTAGCCCCGGTGGGCGTGAAGTCGGTCCAGGGCCAGGTTTGGGTCAGGGATGGGAGAGCCATGCACTGGGCTGGGTAAACCTGTGTGCTTCTCCACCTTGTCTCTAGGGGAGCTTCTGGAGGAGTCTCAGATGGAAGCGTCCAGGCTCCGACAGAAAGTCGAGGAACTGGTCAAGGACAGTGAGCTGCCTCCACCACCTCCTGCCCCTTCCTTGGGCTCCTTTGATCCCCTGGCTGAGCTCACAGGTACCAAAGACATCCAGAACCCCTGCCTTCTCTGAACCTAGACCGCCCAGGCCCGAATAGCCCCTTCTCCCACAGACCGTCTTCCCATGCACATCTTTTGGCTACAGCACCAGTAGAAGGTCAGATCTAGAAGGGACCCCAGAAGACTAGTGACTCAGCACTCCTGATGCCCGCCCGGGCAGGCATTAGTGACCCATCCCAGTGGTCCATGGCACCAGGGATATAGCCTTAGGACCCTATCGGCGTGGTTATTGAGTCCACAGCTGCTGTGTGGCAGGCCCAGCCCCCAGGCATGGGAGCTGGACAGTCATCCCATGGTCCGTGTCCCCCCACACTCCCCGCTTCTGTTTCATAATTAGAAGGCTGACACCCAGAGAAGAACCTGGCCTCGCCTCTCAGCCTTCAGCAATGCCTACGCTGTCTGCTAAAGGAGAGGGGACAGTGACTAAGGGTCGGTCTCTGTGTGGTCACTTTGTGGTACTCCAGAGTGTCTCGAGTCCAGGATGTCTGGAACCCCACGCAGACTTGGGCACTTCCTGCTGCTCCTGTCAGACTCAGCCCAGGCCCCTGTGACACCTTCTTTTTTCAAGGGTGATGGGACTTGCTGGACGGATGAGAAAAGTGGGGGTGTCAGAGCCTGTGGTCCTGTTGTCAGAGGGGCATCCTAGTCCTCACTGGCCCAGGCCTCTGTTAGCTGTCCGGGTCTGATGGGTGCCAGGTCCGCTCCCAGTGCAGTGGGGAGATAGATGCTCACCGGCTTCTGCAGCAGGGGCCTCCAGTGCAGGGGAGTGGAGCTGTTTCTGAGTCCAGGCTTCACAGTTTGCTAACAAGAGTGACTAGCCAAGTTGATGACCGTGACAAACCCTGGTCTCCTTTCTTTAAAACGAGAATAATACGAGCTGTCATGAGGATACCATAGAGTGGGGCTGTAGTCCAGAGGGCAGAGTGCTCACCCAGCGCATATGAAGCCCTGAGTTCCCTCCTCAGCTGCTCTGAATAAACTGCGTGGCGGCACACACCCGTCATCCTGGAGTTTGGAGTTGGTGGCAGGAAGACAAGAAGTCTAGTGTCATCCTCAGCTGCATTCTGAGTTTGGAGCCAGCCTGAGCTATATGAAACCAAGTTTGAAGTCCACCTAAGAAGCTACATGAGCCTCTCTCAAAACCCAAAAGAAAGCACTCGGTTAACTGAAAATTCTGTCTATATCCCCGAGGCAGATGGAGGGAATAGACGGGCGTGCACACCTTGGAGTTTTCCTAGGAAGGTCTAGGGAGAGGGTCTCTGTCCAAGCTCTGTCCCCAGGCCAGTCATTTCACCTGGCTTCTTGTCTTAAAGGGACAGCCCCCCCCCCCCCTTTCTCCAGATCAAGAGAGAACTCAGTCAGAGGGCTTCCATCACTGTGGGCTGGGTTCAGGCTTCTTCCCTTTTGGGTTTCTTTAACCACAGTCTTGATTTTCCAGGACAGGATACACAGGTCCAGGTAGATCCTAATGCCACCACTACCACCACCACCACTACCACCACCACCGAAAACTCCATGGAGAAGCCAGCACCAGCCTCCAAGCCTCCGTCCAATGTAAGTTGCATTTGGAGTTGTGATGGCTGCCTGAAGATCTTCTCTCCTCACATTAGTCTGGAGCGCTGGGAGGGGGCAGCTTGCCATTTTGAGATGGAATTCATAGTTAATGTGATCGGGAAGGCCCTGATCTGACGAGGAACTTCTCATTTACTGAGCTGTGTGATGTGATGTGCTCACCAGTGTGGCACAGAGACAGAGGCTCAGAAACCATGGCCTGCAGGCTCAGTGGAGAAGGTTAGCTTGATGTCGGAGGATCAGTTCCTCGAGGGATCCTTCAGATATCTGGTCATGTATGGAACCCAGATAGTGGAGATTTGGGGGAGGTCTTCTCTAGCAGGGCTGAGACCATAAATAGGGTCATGGTGGCTGTGACTAGGTGGCCAGCTGGACTGGTTTCTCCCATCTGTCCTACTCCATCTCAGGGCAGGGAAAGCTGGATAGTCTCTGCAGGTCAGGAGAGTTTTTATTGTTTTGTTGGTTTTTTTTTAAATTTTGTTTTGGGGTGTGTGTGTGTGTGTGTACACTACATGCATGGGGGGCAGTGTACACCAGTGTGTGCTTGTGAGGACAGAGGAGGACATCAGGTGTCTTGTTTTATTGTTCTCTTCCTTATCCCCATAAGTCTCTTCATTGAACCTAGAGCTTGCTGTTTTCAGATAAGCCAGCTGGCCAGCAAGTTCCAGGGATCCCCCTGTCTCTATCCACTCTAGCACTGGGGTTACAGGTCATGGATGCCCAGCCATGCTTTTTACATGGGTGTGGGGGAATCCAAACATAGGTAGGTCTTCCTGCTGGAGTAGCAAAGGCTCCACCCTGAGCCATCTCCCTAACCCCAGGTCAGCTTTGGGGAATCTTAGAGCCAAGTGCAGTTCAGATGGACTGTGGGCCATCGTGATTGAACAACCAGTAAAGTCTGCTTGGAATGTGTAGAGGTTTGAAAAACTAGAAGATTGGCTAGCCACCACCTGAGTTTGGGGTGCATCCCGAGACACTTTCTGCATTGTCTACCCATCGGTGTTCTCAGAGCAGTTCTCTCCTGGGGACCCTTCGGGCGGGAACTTCCTTAGTGGTGGCTGTAATGGCTGCTGTCACCCAGGGGTGAGCCAGAGGCACTTGATTGAGCCTAGGAGATGGATTGGTTGCTATGGCAGGATCTGTCGTCTTGTGCAGAGTCACGCCTTGTGTGTTAACTCACTCTCTGAACTCAGTTTCCTCATCTGTCCAAAGAGAATGTGGACCTCGCAGCCACTCCATGAGTGGCTTTGGGAATAAAGCTGGTGAAACATTTTAAAATAGAGTCCTTGGGCCAGGGAGGTGGCTTGGTAGGTGATGGTGATTGCTGTCAAGTCTGAACTCAGAAACTTCAGTTCTAGCCCCAGAACCCATGCGGGGGAGAGAAGCAGCTCCCAACACTAACCTCCACACATGTGCTGTGGCGCACACACACACACACACACACACACACGCGCGCGCGCGCGCGCGCGCGCGCGCGCGCACACCCACACGAGTGAACAAATAAATAAATAGTGGTTCAGGGTCAGCTCACCCCACACCCCTTTCATAGATAAGGTAACGGCCATGGAGGGGTGTGACCTCAGATCACAAGGAGGGTGGAGGCAGTTGTGTGGGGTCTCAGTGGTCTCATGTGAATGGTGTGTGACTGGTCACCTCTGGGAACTCTACCCTGGTTGCCCTTCTGTCCCCTCACTGCTCTTCGCTGGGGGCAGAGTGCATTTCTTCTGGGCAGCCCCTAACTCTCTCTTGCACAGGGCGCCTCCTCTGACTTTGAAGTGGTCCCCACTGAGGAGCAGAACTCCCCACCCAAAACCGGCAGCCACCAAAGGAACGTGATGGTGAGCACTGGCAAGCCCCCTGAGCACATCCTCTGCTTTCCTTTGTGTCTGTCACCTGCCCTGCGTGACAGACACTGGGGCCATTCACATCCCTTGAGTCCCCTGGAGTGATGTGGGGGACACAGAGGGGCTAGAGCATGGGGTGCTTCTCGTTCTCATATGCAAATCCCCTGTTGGTGACTTCCCCGGCTTGGGGCACCCAGTACCCCACTGTTGTGAAAGCCTGGGCCATTTGCCAGCCCCACTGGCCTCTGGGCCAATCACCTTTCTATCAGTTATGGTGACTCAGCCTTTTGGGTCTGTAGGCTCCAAGCTTGGGGGTGTGGAAAGGGTCCGCCTGGTGCCTGTGGTGGGGGTGGGGGATGGGAACAATTTACCCTTTTGTGCAGATCCTTGACTCCCCAGGAGCGATGGGTGGGAGGTTCAACTTTCTGTTCACGTGTGGGGGCGGGGTGCACACACTCCTCCAGCTTCAGAGGGGCCCGCTCTTGTCCCTCTTCCCACCCGTGCAGCGCTTACCGCCTGGGTCCCAACCATGCATTCCTGTTCTTTCTTAAAATGCCAGACTTCTGGGAGAGCTATTGTGAAAGATCTGGAAGATTCGTCAGAGACCTTCCGTTCCTACCTTCTCATCCCTCCCTCCCTTCCCATTTAATGTTTGATTTATTCTGTTTTATGTGTGTGAGAGAGAGAGAAATAAGGTCTCACTCTGTAGCCCAGAACTCGGGCAAGCCCCTTGTCTCATCTGGGTCCTCACAATGCCAGGCACGCCCCACTGTAGACCATAGTTCTTTTTAACTTGTTATACCAGTGCTGCATGACCTCACTGTCACGGATGCTGCAGCTTCTCCCGCCTCCAGTCATGAAGGCTTGGGTGGCTGGTGCGCTCTTGCTCACTCACAAACAGCAACCCACCTCCTGCAGCATTTAACCTTTAGTGCTGAGAGAATCATCCTGTCAGACGGTGCTGAGCGTGAGACACAACCTCTGTGTTTTATCTCCTGGGACCTTCTGTCTCATTCTGTTCTGTCCCTGAGGACTCAGACACAACTGAGGAGGCTAGATCCCTTGTTCAGAAAGGTTTCACCATGCGACCATGGGCCGGTAACTTACCTCTTGAGTTAAAAGTCAGTCTGTCTTGCCTGTGCCAAGCCAGGAACGCACCAGCTCCTGCTGGTAGCTTGTGGGCGGATTGGAGAAATTTGAGAGCTCTGAAGCACTTTATGAGCCTTCAGAGAACAGCCTTGGCCACCCCTGGCCCTTCATGGAAGAGGTGGTGGGGAAGAGCTGCAGAATTGGAGAGTGGGGTGCCGCCACCGCCGGTCTCAGAACATGGTGCTGACAGGGAACAGGCTGAGCATCCAGTTGCCACAGAGCTTGGTAGCAGGTCCCAGAGCCCTGGATTGCAGTCAGAAGACTCCGGTTGTAGGACTGGCTCTGCCATGTGCTGATTGGGTTGCTGTGAGCAAGTTCTCTGTCACTGTGCGTCACTGCCCCAGCCTGAACCCCGAAGTCCCTGTAGCTCTGCTCTCTGATTCCCTGAAGTGTGGCAGGAGGTCTGATGTGGGAGTCTCTGGAGTGTTTGGGGGGAGGGGGCCTGGAGGAGCTGAAGCACGGGGACATTTGGGGTAGATGATCAGGACACACAGAAACGAGGCCTGCAGAACCCTGGGGTCTGGCACAGGGCCTTGGGCACGAGGAGGTTGGGCGGCCAGGCTTGGTGCAGTGAGAAGGGAAGGCCCACTGAAATGGACCCTTAGGCCTGATGTGGGCAGAACCAGGGCAGTGGCGTCAGTGGGAATGTTCTAGAGACAGTGCAGAGAGCAGGACTGAACTGCTCTGCCCAGGCTGCTGCGTCTTAGAACACTGCACTGGGTTGTGTTCTGTGGAGTGTTGGAGCTGTGGCTCTTAGAATCAGATGGTATCGCATCCACTCCCAGGCAGACCCCCCCCTCCCCCATGTGGAGCCTCTCTGAGCTCAGGAAGAGGGTGTGTGCAGCTAGAGACACTCTCTCTGCCTTCACTGCTGCGAATTTTTGCTGCAATAAAGGAGGGAAGTGATAGACACACTGCGGAGAGGATGCCCAGCCTGGGGGAGGGTGAACCGACTACCCTCGGGCACTCAGTAAGACTCAAAGCAGGGGAGGAAGATGGCTCTGCTGCTTAGGCCAGTAAGTGGCCTGGAAGTTCTAGGTCCTGCCCTGTGAGTCAGCTCCAGATGGGGAACCTGTGTAACTGGAAAATTTCCCTGGGCTAAGCAGAGGCCACAGGGGAAACTGAGTCATGAGGAATGGGGAAGCAGTGGGAGAATTGACTGGCATTGCCTGCTTAGGCTTGGTGAAGATCATGCCCTTGCTCTCACAGGAGCTGGGGTCCCCACCCCCGGAGGACGGCAATCTCATGCTCCACCTGCAGCGCCTGGAGACCACCCTGAGCGTGTGTGCCGAGGAGCCCGACCACAGCCAGCTCTTCACCCACCTGGGCCGCATGGCCCTCGAGTTCAACAGGTTGGCCTCCAAGGTGCATAAAAATGAGCAACGCACGTCCATCCTGCAGGTGAGGCAGGCCAGGGCCCCTCCCCCCAGCTGTTTGTGGGGTCCAGGGGTTAACTCTGGGGACTTTGGAGGGCTGGATTCCAGGCCTACATGGGGCCTCTTATTCACACTGGTGACTGCAGTAAGGAAGTTGTGGGAAGGTGTGTGAAAAAGAAGGAAATGAGGAAATGGGAAGTGGGCGGATTCATAATGGGTGCCCTGCGGGCCATGGCCTGGCCAGCTGGGTATGGCCTGCTTTGTTCTGGTCTCTTTGGCTTTTTGTTTGTTTGTTTTTGAGACAGGGTCTCGCTGTATATCTCCTGCTGACCAGTAAGTCACTACGTAGACCAGGCTAGCCTTAAACTTGAGATCTACCTGCCTCTGCCACCTGAACGCACCCTGTGACTTGCTTTGCTGTCACTGAGGCTCTTTGTATGTCAGCCCCGCGCAGTAAGAGCTGTTCATATGACCCCTTCCCAGATAGGCAACCAGCCCTCAAGAAATGTCTTTTTTTTAAACCCCAAGGTCACCCAGCTGGTAAATGATGGGCTGATACTAGGACCTCAATTCTTATTTTCTTGCATTTGTTTGTTTGTTTGTTTTTGAGGCAGTCTCACTCTTAGCGCAGGCTGGCCTGGAGCTCACTCTGTAGCTCCATCATCCTCTTGCCTCAGCTTACCTAAATGTTGGGATTCCAGACATGAGCTACCACACCCCGCTTTAATCTGTCATATTTCATTTATTTATTTATTTATTTTTGGTTTTTCGAGACAGGGTCTCTCTGTGTAGCTTTGGAGCCTGTCCTGGAACTCACTCTGTAGGCGAGGCTGGCCTCGAACTCACAGAGATCCGCTTGCCTCTGCCTCCCGAGTGCTGGGATCAAAGGCGTGCGCCACCACCGCCCGCTTCTGTCATATTTTAAATCTCCTACCCTTAGCCACCCTCCCTACCCACCTGCTTTCTCAAATCCCTCTTAAAAGGCTCCCTGTGCTGGGGAATGGTCAGACTTCTTTGCTCAGGTCAGGCCCTTGGTTCGTCATTACTGAGTGGTCTTGGACAGGTCACTAATCTCTGTCCTGTCAGGAATAGAGCTAACAATGTCCCCCTTCTGGGGCTACTGCATCAGAGGAGGCCCTTGTGCAGTCTAGAACCCAGCGCTGGGAGAGTCCCTGTCAGCTTTGATGGTACTCATCCCCGTGGGCAGGCAGTCTTCACTTGGAGGGCTTTGCAGTTAGTTATGGTCTACACCATTGAGAAGATGGTGAAAGTGAGTTCCTAGAGGGCCTGCTCAGGACTTGCGCACCCCTCCTTTTCGGCAGATCCCTCACCTGAAGGCTCCCAACTTTTGGGGAGACCCTCCTATTTCTGGGCCAGTCGACACTGGGAAAAGGAGGGATCCACCCTGTGTATTTGAGCGGCTGGCGTGTCAGCTAGTTCAATGTCAAGGAGCACGCAGGACATCCTTTCATTGGAGGCTAGAGAAGCAACGGGAATGTGTGGTGGAGAGCCCACAGGTCAGGCTGGTGAGGGGACCTCTTTGAGAGGCTGCTAAGGCTTTGGGGTTTCCAAGCTGAGCCCCAAGAAAGAAAACCTGTCACGGTATGGGGCAGAGATCATTCTGAGCATTAGCTTTTCAGCACTCAGATGGGGATGTGTGCTGGCTCCTGACACCCACCAGCCTCTGATACCAATGTCCTGATTATTCCCTTCTTGGCCCTAACAGTTCCCAACAATTCCATCTTATTAGGTAGTTGATTGGCTTAATCTGTTTCCCTGGCGAGTGATGTCTTCAGAGAGGGAGTGTACCCACCATGGTGCCCCAGTGCCTGGCACTTCATCCACAATTGAAAGAATGAGTGAGCAAGCCAGGTGTGGAGGCTCACACCCAGTAATGCCAGTTCTAGGGGCTGAGGCAGGAGGATCTCAAGTTCAAGGCCATCCTGGGCTATATAGCTAGCTCCTGTCTCAAAAAACAACCAAACAAAAAAACACAAACAAAAAACAAAGTCGGAGAGATGACTTAGCAGTTAAGAGCACTGACTTGGGTTTGGTACCCAGCACCCACGTAGCATCCATCTCACATTCTATAGCTCCAGTTCCAGGGGATCTGATGCCCTCTTCTAGCCTCTGTGGGCACTCACTATACACAGATGGTGCACAGACATACGTGCAGGAGAAACACCTGTATACATAAAATAAAAACAAAAACAAACCAGTCTTTTTTTTTTTTTTGGTTTTTCGAGACAGGGTTTCTCTGTGTAGCTTTGGAGCCTGTCCTGGAACTCGCTTTGTAAACCAGGCTGGCCTCGAACTCACAGAGATCCGCCTGCCTCTGCCTCCCAAGTGCTGGGATTAAAGGCGTGTACCACCACTGTCCGGCCAAATCAGTCTTTAAAACAAACAATAGAGGAGCTCACTGGTGTGCTCGTAGGCTCTGATGGAGAGTGGTGGTGACCTTTGGCTGCTGCTGATCCTGTCCGGCATCTGGTTTGTACCAGGGCACTTACCGAGAGGTTCCAAGAACAGCCCTCTGGCCCGGAATGACAGTGTAACAAATGAGCTGTCATTGTGGCCTTCCCTTAGGGACAGGAGCAGGACATTCTGTTCCCTGGAGTCCCCACCCAGAGCCACAGCAGCTCCCCGTGTTGTGTCTCAGCCTCTGAGTGGAGGAAGCGAGTCCAGCCCCACCTCATTCTTATCTGGTGTGTGTCTGGTCCACACAACAAACGCTGCAGGCTCGCTCGCACCTGTCATCTCGGCACCGGGGAGGCCGGGGAGAGGATCGCTGCAGTTCAGTGCTGGGGTGCAGAGCGGGTTTCAGGGTTACAGGGGGAGGCCTTGCCTGGAAAAGAAAAAGATCTCTATATAGATATAGATATATAAATACAGATATATAGATATAGCACAGGCCCCTCTGCTGGACCCCGAAGAAACCAATAACAAGGTTTCGGTTTTCTCAGCCTTCAGCCCACAGGTCTCCAACACCCGCAGTGCAAGGCTGCCCTTCCCTCCATCCAGGACTGTCTTAGGCTGTTTGTCAGAAAGGAAGCCAGCAGCCCTGGTCTCCCTGGGTGACATGACACAATTTCCCTTGTATTCTGTGTAGTAGGAATTCGTTTCTGTCCATACCATTCCTAGAGTGGATAGAAGAAGATGACTACCCTAGTCAGAAAAAGAGACCAGAGAAGGGAGCCAGGGAGGGCTGCCAAGGAGGAGCAGCCTGGGTAGGGAGAGCCATGAAGGGAGAGGGAGGAAATTCTCACTGGGAGGACCAGGACCCCAGTGCATCCTCACTGCTGGCTCCCAGCTGTCGGCCAATCAAGGGGATACAGTGTGTAGTCCTGCCTGGACATACTCTGTCAGCCTGCCTCGGGACGTACTCCCTCCTAACCCTCACCCCGTCTGCCACCTGCCCCACAGACCTTGTGCGAGCAGCTGCGCCAGGAGAATGAGGTCCTGAAGGCCAAGCTGGACAAGGGCCTGGAACAGCGGGATCAGGCTGCTGAGAGGCTGCGGTAAGTCCAGGCCACCTGGAGACTGGAAGAGGAGGAAAAGGGCGGGAGGGATCATGTGACACACTGATTCCCGGGATGAGGCCATGTCTCAGAGCTCTGTTCTGACGGCAAATCTCTCGGCCCTTCTCCTTGTATTTTGTTCACCTTGGGAGGGGATGTAGACAGCATTGGGGGCAACTGCTAACATTTGTTAGGAGCTGGCTCAGGACTCTCCTGCCCCCTGGCGGTCATTATCCTTCTGTTCCCATTTTTCTGGGATCTTTGGAAGTCCCTCACTGGACTCAGGCCTGTGGGAAGGCATACGTGTTTATTCCAGTGTCTCTGTCCTTGGCAGGACTGAGTTGGGATGTCTTAATGAACCATAAGGTCTGCCCATCACCAAGATCTCTGTGACCGCAATGTAGGAGGCCTGGGGAAACAGGAATTTGTGATTGCTGGATCTCAAAGGGCCTTTGTCCTCATATCATACAGACTAACCGCCATTGAGGGGAGACAGGCCCAGAGAGAGGTGGGCTTCTTAAGGGTCTCACATAAGGACCTAGGCATTCACTGGAGTAACAACAGTTCTGCTCACTGTGGTCCTGGGTAAGGGTGCTGGGGTATCTGTTGGACAAGAGAATCTGTATTAGAGCCAGGACTTGCCCCTCTATGTTCCCTCTTGGTCACTGTGGCCACGGGGCCCATTTTACTTTTGGTGCCTTGCTTTACTTTTGGATGGCCTGGTGGTTGGAGCTTTAGAGCCATACTCCATTATTCATGGAGGACATGGATAATGTCAAGGGCAATGATGCCCAGAGTGAAGAAAAGGTGACTTGGTGAGAAGGCAAAAGCCTTCTCCCAAGGGCTTATGGGTAAGAAGGCAGGAATTCAGGTCCTTGCTGAGTGGCCTGGGGAAAAGCCATTTGACTTCATGGTGTCCCTGCAGTTACGTGGAAGCCGAGGGAGTGTGTCCATGTTTCAGGCATCCTGAGACCCCAGCACTACCTGCCTCATGAACTTAGGATTTCACTCTCATTTAGTTAGATTTCTGCTTGTTTTGTTTGGAACAGTCTTGCTCCATAGCCCAGGGAGCTCACTATGTAGCTCAGGCTGGCTTCAGCCTTCTGAACATTGGGGTTGCAGGTGTGAGCACCCCCACTCAGCTTTGCTTGGCAGCTGCCCCTACTGTAAATTATAAAGGTCTCCCCTGGAGCGTCACCTGTATTCAGCAGATGATAACCTTGGAGAAGCAGATACAGTGACAGGTGTATACAGATTCACTGATGGGTGAGAGGATGGTTCTGCCAACAGGGCTCTGAGGCAGGAGCCTGCCTTTCTGTGTTGACGAAGGGGAGTGGCAGGTGCTAGTGAATGCTCAGGACCTACTAGCACCACGCAGGCTCCGGCTGCTTCAGCTGAGCCAGGACGATCGGCTTTGGCTGTAACCAGAGGAACAGAACTTCCTTAGGAGAACAAGATGGCGGGATCTGAAGACATCATGTGTGTAGACAACACACAGACAGGGAAACTCTACTCAGGATTCTCAAGCTTGCACACCCTCTAGGTGGCTCGTGGCTGCCCTTTTGGTCTTGTCACACTTCCCAGAACACTGCTACAGTGCCCGTGACAGTGGGCCGTTGGCTTCAAAGGCTCCTTAACCCAGGCTGACACTGTGACTTCTCCACTTGCCTCTTACCCAGGGAGGAAAACATGGAGCTCAAGAAACGGTTGATGAACAGCAGCTGCAAGGAGGGCCTCTGTGGGCAGCCCAGCTCCCCAAAGGCGGAGGGTGCTGGCAAGAAGGGCCTGGCCGGACAGCAGCAGGTGCGTGGTGGGAAGTTCTGGTGTTCCAGGCTTCTCAGACCCGGGATCTGCTCACCTCCTCGGTCAGAGTGAGCCCACCTCCTCCTTCCTGTACAGTTCCAGCGGCGGAAGGTTCTAGATGATAGACCGTGTTTCCTAGCTCAGCTAGGAAGCCTACCGCCTCTGGGGTACGGCCACTCCTTCACCTTTTTGTTCTCCCTTCACTCCCTGCGGCGTGTCCCACTCCCCGAGACACGTGCTCAGAACTGACGGTAGTCACGTGGCTCTGTGACCCCTCCCCCCACAGTGGCTGCTTCTCTTGTTTGTTAGCTCGGATTATCCAGCTGCTGCTCCTGGGAGTTGGGTTCAGTGTTTTGCTCATTCTGGGTACTAGCACCTTAATGCATACACCCTTTTTTTTGGGGTGGGGGGAGGTGTCAAGGTCTCTGTCTCTGTCTCTCCCTCTGTCTCTCTTTTTCTGTCTCTCTGTCTCTGTCTCTCTCTCTCTCTCTTAAAAGGTGACTCCCAAAAGTCATGTAGCACATCAGACATTCCATGGCAGAACTGAGGTGTTGGGCTGAGTGAGATCCTTTGGGATTTAAGCTTGTGAGACCTTTAAGCACCTTGGAGCCTCTGCATGGAGAGGAAGACATTGGCAGCATCATTATGGTCTAGGGATGCCACAGCACCGACTCACACCTCCCCACCTCCAGGCCAGCCTTGCCACACAGCCAAGTCCCAAGTGTCCCTTGCTCCACTTTCACCAGAACCTCCCGTCTCCTCTCACCCAGTCTTTAACAGAACATGCTCCCCCCACCCCACACTTAAGTCAGTGTAATCAGTTGCAGCATAAGCCCTAATGCTAATAACGTTATACTATGTAATGTAATTATCCTGGTCACTCACGCCCCATCACTTGGTGGAGATGTACTTTATCCAGGACTTGCAGAGCCCTGAGCTTATTGGGGCTCTTCTTCCTGAAAGGATGTCTCTTCCATGAATACCTCTGGCAGGAGTCTTGGAGACGTCATGTGCCATCATGTAATTAAGATTCTTCCATCACCTCTCAAGCAGATGTGGGTTTGGCCAGCTAAGCAGCAAACTTCCTCACTCCCATTCTCACTGGCATCTGTGACCCCCTTTTTTAATTTTTTTAAATCGGGATCTTACTGTGTAGCTATGGTTGGTCTGGAACTCACTGTGTAGACCAGCCTGGCCTCCCGCTCACAGAGAATTAAAGATATATGCCACCACACCTAGCCCTTAGCTGTTGCTTTTAACAGTAGATTTGGGACAGGGTGCCTCTGTCTGCCAAGGTAAGGGAGCCCAGCACCCTCAAGGAGACTGGGCTTCCTGGGAGCAGGCATCCCTGTCCTTTCTCAGGAGACCACCTTATACATACACCTTTTCCTCTCCAGGTGCTATGGTATGCTTACAGGTCATAGCCTGTAGGGGGCACTAGAGGCCCACAAACGCTGCTTCCAGCTCTGCCCAGCCTGTGATAGGGAATAGACCTTGAGTAAGAGCAGCATGACTGCAGGGCGGATGGGCTCGCCAGGTGGGCTCAAGTCCATGGGCCGTGCAGCCCCCCAGTCTTGGTCATACACTGAGGGCCGTGGTGACAGTCACTGCATCTGCACGTCCAGCCTTGCTCTGTGGCTGTCACCTCAACGCTTACTAGTTGTTTAATTTCAAAATACTTGATTTTGAAGTAACTTGAAACTTATGCAGAAATGAGTTCTGTTCCCATACTCCCTCTGGCTTCCCTGGCCAGCTTCCATAACCACAGAACCACTGCACCAGCCAGCCATCTTACATAACTCTGGTTCAGTCACCAAAGTAGGAGTTAACGTCGGCATTGCAACACCGTTCAGATGCCACACGTCCTTCACTCCTGTCCTTTCTTTGTTCTAGAACTGAGTCCAGGACCCCACATGGCAGTCAGTTGTCACAGCTCCTTAGTCTCCTCATGCCTGTGACATTGCTCAGCTGTTCCTTGTTTTCATGACCTTGACGCTTTTGAGTTATGCTGGCCAGTTTTGCAGAGTAGCTTTGGGTTTCTGTTAGATTGTGGGTGCAGAATTCGGAAGGAATCCCAGAAGTGGCTGCCACGTGCACACGTCTGCACAGTGCTGGACTCTTAGCACGTGCATCTGGGCTCGATGTCTGCCGAGCTCCATGAGACTTTTACATTGGTTTACTTTGTGTTGGTGGTTACATGTGTGCGTGGAGGTCAGAAGTCGGCTTGTAGGAGTCAGTTTTCTCCCTCCACCAGGTGGTTTCTGGAGATGGAACTCAGGCCATCAGAATAGTTTCCTCACTGAGCCATCTCACTGGCTCCTGATAACTTTAGAAGTGTGTACTCACACCTTCCAGGTCAGGGGATTGGGGGTTGTTACAGGGGTTGACCAGCAGTGCCTCAGAGCTAGGGCTGAAGCCAGACAGATGGCTGTGGAAAGACCTGGGGATGGGATGCTGAGGCCGGCAGCCATAGTACACATCAGCAAAGGGAAGTAAGTGAACCTGATGGGCTTCCAGAAGGAGGCCATGGCTGTGACACCGACCTCTGCTGGTGCTGCTGGGTAGGAGGAACAGGGCGACTCGAGACGGGGCTGGGCCCTGGAAGGGCAGCGGGCTGGGGAGTGACGCTATACCTGAGACTTCGGTGAAGGCGCTCTCTGTTTCTTCCCAGGCCAGTGCGATGGCAGGTAAAGTCCCCGAGGTGGGGGTCTTGGGCACAGCCGAGAAGAAGGTGAAGATGCTGGAGCAGCAGCGCATGGAGGTAGGTGGCTGGACAGGGTGGTCAGTGAGCATCCCTCCCCTCCTGGGACCAGAGGGATGAAGGCCCCACTTGGCTCTCTGGTTCCCACTGGTCCCAGGTCATCTTGGAGAATTAATCATGGAAACCATTGAACCATCTGCCCGTGGGAAGGGTCTCTCTTGATGCACCACAGGGATCACTGAGTACACTGGATTTGTGGTACAGCCTGAAATTGTTTGAGCAGCTTAGGGAGCTAGAGGGATGGCTCCGGGGTAGGAGTGTGTGCTGCTCTTGGAGAGGACCCTGGGTTCAGTTCCCACCGCCAGAGAGTCTGACCCCCATGGGCACCCACACTCATGCAGGCACACACACATATACACAGAACTTAAAGGGGGGAGTTTAGGATGGCTAGAGTAGACTGAATAGCCGGGGAGGTCGCGCTAAGTCAGGCCAGCATCAGCGTGGAGACCCATGCTACCCTGTAGGGAAGGGCCGACTGGGAAGGAAGCTCAATGCCCTGGCAGCAGCAGCACTGTGTGTGTCTCACAAGCCCCTCCCCACCTCCAGCCAAGGGCGGTAACCTGTCTGTCCCTTGCCTCTTCTCTAGGCCTCTTCTCACAGCTGGGTCCTTCCCCAACCTCTTCCTTCCTGCCGCTCTTGCCTTCACACATATCTGAAAGCTTGCTTACATGCATACTCTAGATTTATTTTACTCATATCTCACATCTAAAAGAATGCTCATCATAAAATGAACCAAGAATCTCCCTAGTAATAACTACAGCTGACTTCAGCTCACTACATTCCCTCGGGGTTGTTTTGTTCCAGTTTTTTGTGGTACTAGGAACTGGACCTATGGCCTCACCAAGTTGCCGAGGTGAACCTTGAACTCATTGTCTAATTTCCTCAGCCTCCTAAGTAGCTGAGGGCACAGAGTTGCAAATCCTGTATTCAGGGTTTTTTAATGCAGAAAATAAAATGACACATACTACTTTTCAGATTAATTTTTTCTTTTAAAATTATCTCAGGATATCTGTTCAGATCTACAGCGTAAACCAATTCCTTCATTTTTTTAGTACTTTTGTCTTTTGTGGTACATCTGAAATCAGAATATCCTCTCTCATGGTCCGTCATTTTATTTTCTTAGTTGTTTTTCTTCCCCAAGTAATTGCTCTGTTAAGAGTATGGCTTATAACTAGCATTATCTTAAAGCTGAGAGAGTGTAGCCGGGCGGTGGTGGCGCACGCCTTTAATCCCAGCACTCGGGAGGCAGAACCAGGCGGATCTCTGTGAGTTCAAGGCCAGCCTGGGCTACCAAGTGAGCTCCAGGAAAGGCGCAAAGCTACGCAGAGAAACCCTGTCTTGAAAAACAAAAACAAAAACAAAAACAAAAAAAAAAAATCAGAAGGAGCACAAAGCTGAGTGTATTGTGTGTTTTATTTTCTTAATGACTTTGCATTATCTGTTTATAGTGTAATTTAATCCATGTCCTACACTACGCTGACCTTTGGGGATTCACACACACACAAACACACACACACACACACACACACACACACACACACACACAAAACACGAGTATCATTTTATTTTTGGTTTTGTTTTGAGATAGGGTCTCTCTGTGTAGCCTTGGCTGTTCTGGCTATGTAGACCAGGCTAGCCACAAACTCACAGAGATCCTCCTGCCTCTGCTTCCTTAGTGCTGGAATTAAAGATGTGGCCACCATGTCTGGTTAATTAGTATGTTTTCGCACTTGTCTAAAGTGTTTTTCTTTCCTTTTTTTTCTTCTTGTACCAGGGAATGAAACCAGGGCCTTGTGCATGCTTGGTACGCACTCTCCTACAGAGTCACACCTCAGCCCTTGGTTTTAGTGTTTCCATTGGTTACATTTTTCAGAGTGGAATAATTTGTGTTAAAGTCAGGGAAAACCCGAGATTGTCACACCCCTTTCAGATTGCCCTCTGAAGAATCACGTTTGTGCCTCGCAGTGACTGTCTCACAGTCTGCCCTCCCTGTTGCTCTCCCAGCAAGGGTGAAATGCAGCTGGGGATAAAGCTGGAGCAGCAGGGAGCTTTGGAGCAGCAGGGCATGGAGGCAGTGTTGCAGCTCTGCCCTGCATGTGCTCTGGGCACCTGGGGAGCTGGGGCATGGGGTGGGTATCTGGCACCCCTTCCCCAGGTTCCTAACCTGGCACCTGCCTGCCCACAGCTGCTGGAAGTGAACAAGCAGTGGGACCAGCATTTCCGGTCCATGAAGCAGCAGTATGAGCAGAAGGTAATGGAGTTCCTGGGAGCTGAGCCGAGGATGGCTCAGGGAGGAGGGACGAGAGGCTTGTGGCCAGGCTGAGCTGGGGTGGGGGAGGGACAGCCGGGGCATGCTGCCCCCCTGCCCTCACACTGTCTCTCTGCCACTCCTCCAGATCACGGAGCTCCGCCAGAAGCTGGCGGACCTGCAGAAGCAGGTGACTGAGCTGGAGGCCGAGCGGGAGCAGAAGCAGCGGGACTTTGACCAGAAACTCCTCCTGGCCAAGTCGAAGATCGAGATGGAGGAGGCAAGTGTGACCAGGCTCGCAGGCTGTGAGGTTCCAGAGTCCCTGGGACCAGTGAGCCAAGGACAGAGCCAGGTGCTCTGTGACCTTCTTAAAATTGAGAACACGGGCTAACTATTGCTTTTCAGTTTTCCATGCTTGCATTTGCACAGCTTTTTGATCAGTTGACTTTTTTTTTAAGATTTACTTACTTTTATTTTATGTATGTGTTTTGCCTGCATTTATGTCTGTGTACCATATGTGTGCTCAGTGCCTGCAGAAGCCAAAATAGGGCATCATATCTCTTGGAACTGGAGTTACAGACAGTTGTGAACCCACTGTATGGGTGCTAGGAACCAATCCCAGGTCCTCTGTAGGAATAGCCAGTACCCTTAACCACTAAGCCATCTCTCTATCTGCTGATAAGTTAAAATCTTAAATCCTAAGGAACTATACAAAGAACTACATAATACAAAAATATACCAATGGGACTTGGTAGGCTCACACCTGCAAGCAATCCCAGCACTCAGGAGACTGAGGCAGGAGAATAGAGAGTTACAGGCCAACCTGAGGTATATAGCAAGTCCCTGTCATAGGGTGGAGCTGGCACTCAGTTGGTAAAGTGCTTGTCTAGTAGGCATGAGGCCCTGAATTCAGTCCCTAGTGCTCCATAAACCAGGCAAGGGAGTCTGCAGAGGGACGTACAGAAGTTCAGGGCCATCCGTCTGGGCTGCACGAGACTCTGTCAAAATAAAATAAAAAGACCCTGTGTTCTGAAACAGATCAAAGCAGGCCTACATGGGCTGAGGTACTGTTCAGAGAAGAGCAGGGCCTCAGACAGAGGGGATTTGTTTATCCAGGCTCTTTCCAGCCTGCTCAGGGGAAACAGTCAGCTCCGCCCTGGCTGGAGAAGAGATAGTGAGCGACTAGATGGAGGCCAATAAGGAAAAGTATGTTAAGTCCTACAACGAAGAAGGGGCAGAGACAGAGACGGGGCAGCAGAGACCTGATTTGGGCTGGGCTGGGCGGTGGAACAGCACTCTGAAGAAATGGCATCTGCTCTGCCATGTGTGACTGGTGCCAGTCATGGCCCTCCAGAGTCCTGAAGCAACTGAGTGAGGAAAGGCCTCCTGCCTCCCAGACCCTTGGGGGTTTTGTGATAGTACCACTTCTTTCTCTTCGTGGGAACTGCGCGTGGGCCGATTTGCCCAGCTTTAAATCGGATATTTTCAACACGGATTGCATTTCAGAGGCCCTCCACCAGCACGTGACACCCAGGTCTTATCTGAGCACTGTTCTGTGACTACCCCCTTCCCTTGAGGATTAGTTACAGAGACACTGTGTACTTGCTTCTGAGTGCATCAGCATGGCTCTCGAGCCAGATGTCCCGGCTCTGTGGTTTCTTTTCCTCACTCATGTCCACAAGGGAGACAAATCCCTGGAATCTGACCTTCTGTCCTGTCTGCTGGGGGAGGGCAGGGCCTTTCCAGGTTCAGCCTGGCCTTGCAGATGGGAACCCCGTGGTCCAGGACATGCCTTGTCCTAGAGTCTTCAGCAGGGGCCAGGACATCACCCCTGTGTCTTGGCCCAGGCTGCCCATGAGCCACCTCCAACTAGAAACCACTCACCCATTGATGTATGGAATATTGACTAAAGGTCACACAGGAAGGGATGAGCACTGATCCTCCTCAGCCTGTCACTTGATCCACATGACACACTACAGATAAGCTAAACACTTTCCTGGAATACCTCCCCTCCCCCTCCCCAGACCCTGGTCCTCCAAGAAGTAACCATGGTTAAATTTTTTTTTTAGATTTATTTATTTTATGTGTATGATGATTTTGCCTTTGTGTTCATGTGTGCACCTCATGTGTGCCTGGTCCCATGGAGGCATCAGATCCATGGAATTGGAGTTTTGGATGTTTGTGAGCCCCCATATGAGTGCCAAGAATTGAACTCAGGTCCTCTGTAAGAGCAGCGAGTGCTTGTAACCCCTGAGCCATCTCCCCGCTCCCAGACCTATTTTCAGATCATGCATCTGCTGGTGATGCAGTTTTTAACCGTGCCTGCTCTTTATGCTGCACTGTTTTGATTTATTTTTGAGATGGGCTTCTTGCTATGTAGCCTAGGCTAGCCTGGAACTCACTATGTAGACCAGGCTGGGCTTGAACTCAGAGATCCATCTGCCCCTGCCTCCGGGCTGTGGGAATTAAAGGTGTCCACCGCCACTTTCCCCCAGCCACAGTTTGACAGTGCCTAGCTGGCCCATGGTGCAGGCCCGCAGGGCCAGATTCTTGGAAGGCCGAGGCAGGATGTTCACAAAAACCCAGGGCCTCCCTGGGCTACAGAATGAGTTAAAGCTTGCCTAGGCAATTGAGTAAGACCACGTCTTGAAATATAAAAATAACAAAAGTCAGGGGCTGAGGAGTTGGGGCCGTAGCTCAGGGGTAGGACAGCTGCTTAGCAAGCACAAAACTCGGCCCCTGGAAAAGTAAACAGAACATTTCCTGGCCTGGTGAACAGCGTTTGCTCTCACCCTACAGCCCAGTTTGATTCCCAGTCAGGGACGTGTATTTGGGCCGGCGAGATGGCCGAATGGATAGAGTACTTGCCGAGCCCATGTGGTAGAAGGAGAACCGACTCACAAGTTGTCATCCGACCTCCATATGTGAATACCCACACACAGACAATAAATAAATAAATGTCAGAAGTGAGGAAGCCCTTCCTTTGATGGGAATGGATTAGACATGAGGCCCCTGAATTCTGCCCTAGCTCCCTGTGTGGTCTGCAGGAAGTCGCTGCACGCATGCATGCACGCGCGCATTGGTTTCCCGTTGAGCAAAGGGCCTTGATGCCCTGCTGCATTCCAGCTGTGACTGTGTGACGCAGAAGCCTGGAAGCTTCCAGGTCTCTGCTCTACTCTGGAGGGCCTTCTTCTGCCCTGTTTATGTCTTTGAGCGTGGTCTCCTCTATTCTTAGAAGCTTGAGGTCCTTAAGGGGCTGAGGTAGTCTTCATTCTTTGAGAATCTGGTGGAGACAGGGGCTTTACTCCTGAGTTTCCCAGATAACATTTTACACCCAATTTGGGGACTCACAGCTCTTATGAGGTCCCTCTGTGACTTTTGTTAAGATCCAGTTAGCCCTAAGATTTAGAAAGCTTGCTTCAGAGGTCTCTGCAAGAGGGAGCCTCAGAGTTGAGGGCCTTACACTCTGCCAGGCTTCTCTTCCTCGAGAGCAGGACATATGGGCTCTCAAAGACACCAGCTTCTCCCCAGGTTCCGTGCAGAAAGCACTGAGATGGGCTGAGGGCAGGAGAGCCAGGGTGGGGGCCAGGCAGTCCAGGCCTCCTGGAGAGTCCCTGTTTACCAACCCTGTGCTCTCTGCAGACTGGCAAGGAGCAGCTGGCCGTGGAGGCCAAGGAATTACGCCAGAAGGTCAAGTACCTGCAGGACCAGCTGAGCCCACTCACCCGGCATCGAGAGTACCAGGAAAAGGAGATCCAGCGGCTCAATAAGGTGGGCACTGAGACACGTTCCCACGGGGGAAGACTATGGTGAGCTCAGCTGCAAGGCCCACCCACCCTTCTGCCGGCACCCCCAGTTCAGGAGAGGTGGCCCCTTTTCAGTGGCTTAGAGGCCCAGTTCCTGTCTTCCCTGCCCCCACACACCCTGGGTGACTCAGCCCCAATGGGAGTCTGGACTCACTCCTGCCTCCCATGTAGCCTTTGTACATGGTGGCCTCCTGAGGGCCTCTATCCCCTGACCCTGCCTGGCCTACCCAAGCTTGAATGTCACTTGATCAGCAAAACTGTCTCTTTTTGGTGGCTCCATTTTATGGTCCTGGGGTAGCAACAGCTGTTTTCTCACCCTGCTGATGGGTTGTCCTGCTTATGCATACACACACACACAAACTTGTTGAAGGCAATGTAAGAGACCTGTCACTGAGAGTCCCTGATGTCTAGGGACTGAAGTCCAGGGAGGATCCTGTGGACAAGAAAGAATGAGAGGGCGTGGGTGACCGAGGGCACTTTGCTGTTTTGTTGGGTTTTGGTTTTTTGAGAGAGGGTTGCTCCGTGTAGCCCTGGCTGTCCTGGAACTCACTCTGTAGACCAGGCTGGCCTCAAACTCAGAGATCTTCCGCCTCTGGCTCCCCACCCCACCCCAGCCCAGCTTTGTCTGATCTTCAGGGTTGGTAGGTAAAATAGAAACTAAGTGGAAATTGCAGTCCAAGCTCATGTAACTAGAGACAAGGTGGGGTGCTGAGGCTGAGAATCCTGAAGAATCTGTCAGACAATGCAGCTTCTCTTGGAGAGCTAGGCTTCTTTCTAGGTCTTGGGTATGAAAAGTTGAGCCAGGCCTGTTCAGAGAAGGTCTTCGTACATGAAGAGCTCAGGTTAACCTGCAGGTTAAGAGCACGGACAGGCTAGGTTGAAGTCCTTGTGTTCACTCATTAACTGTCTCCATTTGCATTTTCCCTCAGCAACAGAAATCCTCAGCAGTCTCCATTAGGGTTTCTGTTGCTGTGATAAATCACCATGACCAAAAGCGACTTGGGAGGAAAGGATTTATTTCATTTATAACTTTCAGGTCCTAGTCCGTTACTGAGGGAAGTCAGGGACTCTGGAAGCAAGAACTGAAGCAGAAACCATGGAGGAGCACGGACTTGCTCCTCATGGCTTACTCAGCCTGCTTTAGTGTGCGCTCCAGGACTACCAGCCCAGGGGTGGCCCCACCCACAGTGAGATGAGCCTTCCCCCATCAATCACCAAGCAAGAAAATACCTCAAAAAAGGCTTTGCCTATAGGCCAGTTTGGTGGGGACAGTTTCTCAATTGAAGTTTCCTGTCCTCAGATGACGGTGGCTTGTGTCAAGTTGACGAAAAACCAACCCAGGACACTCAGCCAAGTCACAGTGGGTCTCTGGGCCTCAGTTTTCACATGTGTAAAGTGGGGGTGAGGGCCTAGCCTTTACCCCGTGGGATGACGAAGAGGCTTCAGCGCGGTGGCCCAGGTACAGCTGGGCAGTGAAGGACCACTGCTGCTGGAGTTAGACTTAGAGTCACTGTGTTATCAGAAAGGCTCTCCAGGAGTGGTCTTCAGAGGGGTCTGACTTCCAGGGAGGCCTGCTCACGACCCTGTCTCTTCTCTCCTGACCCCAGGCCCTGGAGGAGGCCCTCAGCATCCAGGCCTCGCCATCCTCTCCACCTCCAGCTTTTGGGAGCCCAGAAGGGGCTGGGGGCCACCTGAGGAAGCAGGAGCTAGTGACTCAAAATGAGCTGCTGAAACAGCAGGTGAGGCCCGGAGAGCTGGTGCACCCCGGGAACTAGCCAGCCAGCCCTCCCCAGGCTGGCTCTGCTGTCCCTTCTCTGTGGGCCTGGCTGTCACAGTTCTCCTTTTTAACACCAAGTCAGTGATCCCTTTGTTCAAATAAAGTCCTGTCTCCGAGTCCGGAGTATGAGACAGGAGAACGCACACTGACTTCCTCTAGAGAAGTGGGATTTGGGGATCGAGATGCCTCCTCCAATCTCCAGTGTCGCCAGCTCTTCCCCGACAGCCCAGCGAGAAGCCTGGAGTCCGGGCCTGAGCAGTGCAGCTTCCAGAGGCTGCCCTGACCCTCACCTCCCGATCCCCTCCAGGTCAAGATCTTTGAGGAGGACTTCCAGAGGGAACGGAGTGACCGTGAGCGCATGAATGAAGAGAAGGAAGAGCTGAAGAAGCAGGTGGAGAAGCTACAGGCTCAGGTCACCCTGACCAATGTCCAGGTGAGAGCACCGCCCTGGCCTTACCGGGTTCGAGGACCCTGGGAACCTCCTGGGCTCCATCCAGCTCTGCTGCCACTGCTCCCCTTTGGCCCCTGCCGGCCCCTGTCCTCTGAACTTTGTGCAGTGTCATGGTCTAACTGTGGTGTTCTAGCTCCGACTCTCCATCGGTGTTGATGCCCAGAGGAGCAAAGTTAACGGGAGACTGAGAGGACGCTAGCGGGGGGGCACTTGACTGCCCTCCTGACCTGTGTTCAGGCCACCAGGAGGAGTAGGGGGCCCACAGCTAACAGCCCAGCTTCTGCTGGGCCCCTTAGTGCCCTTCCTGGAACTTCCCACGCTTGAGTGGTCTCCTGGGCCTCAGCCATCTGCCCTCAGGGTGGTGAGGCGTTGGGCTCACTGCCGATGAACCGTCAGGTCTCCCTCTCTCCCCCAGCTCAAAGCACTCAAAGATGAGGAGAAGGCCAGAGAAGCCCTCAAACAGCAGAAGAGGAAAGCGAAGGTGAGCAGCTGGAGAGAGTGGTCAGCGTGCACTGTCTGACCACCTTCAGGGGGTGGGGTCCCAAGGGGAAGATGGCTGACATTTGCTGGTTAGATGCCAACAGAACAGTCCTCATGAACTGTCATTATCAGTCATCCGTGACCAGGTCCCCAGTCCTGCCTGTGTCCCAGCCTCCCTTGCCCTTTGAGAACTAAGGTTCCAGCTACGGGGCAACGAGGTGGGTGCCAGGCCAGAGGCAGATACAAGCCTTTCTTGCAGGCCTCGGGAGAGCGCTACCACGTGGAACCCCACCCTGAGCACCTCTGCGGGGCCTACCCCTATGTCTACCCTCCCATGACAGCAGCCATGGTGCCCCAGCACGCCTACAAGGACTGGACCCAGATCCGCTACCCTCCGCCCCCCATGCCCATGGAACACCCGCCCCCACTCCCCAGCTCTCGCCTCTTCGTTATGGTGAGTCTGTGTCTTCCTTCCTGCAGATTCTATCTAGAAAGGAAGGCCAAGCGAGGGGGTGGGAACCTGCTGTCCCGGCGGTTTCTCAGAGACACAGGGTGGTTGTGGGCAGGTGCCCGGGCCTGGCCCTGGGCTACTCTCCCTGGGGTCAAGACTCTGCGGCCCCTAGCTGCCCAGTGTCAAAGGGAGAAGGCCCGGTAGGAGTACAGAATCAGAAGGACTGCCATCGTGCCCCCAGCGGGGCATCCGAGTTGGCTCTGCACTTCATCCATAGCCTTCAGTGGAGTCAGGGCTGACGTCACCGAGGTTCCTTCTTTCCTCCTCTTAGTTCAGCTTCTCCCCCATCCCCTCCTCTTTCTCCCACCCCCAGTGTTGCTGTCCCCTCCCCTCCTCTGCAGTCTCTGCCCAGCCCCTTCAGGTGTGCCCAGCCCTCCCCCTGGCAGGTCCAGTGGCTCCGGTCCGGCCTCCTGTCTAGCTTCCCCCCTGTGCACACTTCAGCAGTGGTGGCCTTGAGAGGTTGTCAAGCTGGGCTGGCTCGGGCAACCCCAGCACAGCTGAGGGAAGAAACCTGCTCACAAGTTTGAAGCCAGCCTGGACAACACAGTGAGATAGAGGCTATCTTGGGCTACAGAGTTAGACTCTATCTCTTTTTTTTTTTTTTTTTTTTTTAGGAAAAAATTAATCCTCTCCTCCGACAGTGAACATTTAGTGTTATAGTTTTAGGATGCTTTAAAATTTTTTGGTTTTCGAGACAGGATTTTCTCTGTGTAGCTTTGTGCCTTTCCTGGATCTTGCTCTGTAGACCAGGCTGGCCTGGAACTCACAGAGATCCGCCTGGCTCTGCTTCCCAAGTGCTGGGATTAAAGGTGTGCGCCACCACCGCTTGGCGAGACTCTATCTCAAAAACCAAGAGAGGGAAGGAGGCATGAACTCAAAGCTGCACTTGGCCATTTTCTCAGCTGAGTGACGTGTACCCTTAGGGTTTGGTACTTTGTTCCTATGCATTTAGGACTGTTCTGGCTGAGGCTTCTGCTGTGGCTCTGGAACATGGTTGTGGATTCCTCCTTTCTTTCTTTTTCTCCCCCCCCTCGGGGTGTGGGGGTTAGTTTGTTTGTTTGTTTGATTTGGCATAGTTTTAGTTTTCTGAGACAGCATTTTTCTGTATAGCCTTAGCTTTGTAGATGAGGCTGGCCTTGAACTCAGAAGTCTACCTGCCTCTACAGTGCTAGGATTAAAGGTGTGTGCCTCCATGGCTCATTTGTGAGTTCTTAAGCACCCATCTGTTGCAGCCGGAGTACCCCTGGCGTCCACCCTGTGCAGGGATCCAGAATCCAACCTCCCAAGTGATGGACCCGCCCCCCGACAGGCCTTCAGAAGCAGGTGAGTGTGAGTCCCCTGGTAGAAAGGACATTCACCCACCGACATTGACCCAGTTTGCAAATGTTGGTATTTTGTGAGCTTGGTAACATGGAGGCCCAGCTTCCTGAAACGGTACTGAGAGAGGAAAGATGTGGACTGCAATTAGAAATGATTGGAAGGAGCACACATTCGCTTTCTCGTACTGTGCTGGGAGCTAGCACTGCTCAAAAGTGGATGTTCCTGTCCTAGTGAGGCAAGCAGAAGTGAATTCAGTACTCACGTAAACAGACGGGTTACACTCGAGTGCCCAGAAGAGCAAGTTTCTGTGAGAGAGGTCAAGGGGCCTGACCTGGAGCAGGGCCAGGGGAGTTTTGTGGAGGCGGTGACATCCTAGCTGAGAAGCCAGAGGGGTAGAGGATATTCCTGCAGAGAAAAAGGACAGCCACAAAGACCTCATATATTACTCAGCTTTCTGTGTCTGGGACAAAATGCCTAAGACACTCAGCTACCAAGGAGGGAAGATTCGGTTTTGGCTCAAGGTTTCACAGATTTCACTGTGAAAGTCCCTGGTCCCATCACTTTGAGCCGATGGCTGTCCAGTGCATCATGGCAGGAGAATACACCAGAGGTGGTCTCTTTCCCTCCTGATGGCCAGGAAGCAAAAATAGAAAGAAGGAGCTGGGAGGCCCTGCTGTATCCTCTGCAGGGCTGTACTTGTAATAACCACACTGCCCCCCACCTCCTAAAGGTCCACCACCCCCAGAGACCCACAGGCTGGTGATGAAAGCATTTGGGGCCATTCTGCTTCTGGCTCCTGAGGCTTGTGTCCATCTCACAATGCATAGTGCACGTAGGCAATCTCCCAGAGTCCCCATGATCTTGACTTTTCTGGCATTGCTTAAAAGCCCAGTCTCTAAGGCTCAAGGCAGCCTCATCTGTGAGCACTTGCAGAAACAAAGAAGATAGATATGGTGGCACACACTATATTCCCATCACTTGGGAGGTGGAGGCCAGAGGATCGGGAGTTCAAGGTCATCCTTGACTACATAACAAGTTTGAGGCTAGCCTGGGCTATGACCCCATCTCAAAACAAAACAAAAATCCAAAGAGGATGTTTGATGCTCTAGTATACAGTGTTGGGCCAGGCATAGAGTAAATATCCCTGTTTCAGAAGGGAGAGAGAGTGTCATAGACAAGAAGGAGTAGACCGAAGGAACACTAAAACCCAGAAAAGCAAACAAGCGCTCCATAGCTCTGGGCTGTGCTGTCTGTCACCTTGGCTGGCTGTGCCTGCTGCCCTTCGCTCCCTGCTGGTCCACATTTTACACTCCTGGCATCTTTAACTTCCTGGGGTCTCCAGTACAGCTTAGACATCATCATCACAGCTTCACCTACTACCCTGTCTGGGGTTGCCCTCTGGGACTTGGATCCTGCCACACATACTGCCTGACCCCAGCCCTTCCTTTGAAATCTGGGTGGAAGCCATGACCCCATAACACTTGGCATTGTGCACACTGCCAAACTACCATCATGTGGACAAATGCCAACATCTACTGCCAATTAGAGCTATGCCAGAGCCTGCTTGAGTCATGGCTGCAGTGGTCAAGAGTCTGAGTATGTTGGACCTGAACATGACAAAGAAATCTGAAAGTAGTTCTCTAGGTAGCCCCACCTGAAGGCACACTGGTGCTCTCATCTCAAACCAGAGTTGACATGTCTAGGCCTTCTGGCCTGGGACTGTGTAATAAACCAAATTGGACTCAGACTTGTAGTAATCCTGCCTCCGCCTCCCAAGTGCTGGGATTATGGATGGAAGTCACCACCAAGATAGGGTCTTCCTATTATGGAGATACCCTCAATACATCTTTCTGACTATTTCTTGGCAAAGCTTTGCTGCTTTTTTGTTAGATTTATTATTTTTAATTATGTGTATATAGGTATGTGCATGTGAGTGCTAGCGCCTATGAAAGTCAGTTATCAGATCCCCCTTGAGCTGGGGTTACAGGTGACTGAGCCCCCTGATGTGGTAGTATGTGCTTTTAACACAGAGCCATCTCTCCACCCCAAATTGCTTCTTCTTAAGGGTCCCCCTTGGCGTATGCTTGATGCTGCTTTTCCAGCCAAGCTACAGTACTTTTTAATCTGCTCTGCCTTTGCTCCTGTTCTTAGAGTAAATCTGGCTGAAAGCAGTCAGCAGTAGCCAGGACACTGCCAGAAAGAACGCTGTGTGACCTTGACATTTAGTCCACCGGATTGTTACTTAAAACTCCACCTCACACAAGTGTCAGGGCATGGACAAAACAGACGGGTTCTTGCTAGAGTGTAACACAAGTGGCCCGATTTCCAGAAGGATCTTCATGTCTAGCCAAAATGTCATGAGCCTGGCCTCACTGCCCACACAGCGGTCAGTATCGAGCTTTCTGAATCCTCACTACAATTGCCCCTTTAGTCTTGGTTATAGCCATCTAGGTGGTATCTGGGGCTCTGAACTGCATCACAGACTCCGTGATGACTGATCCCTCTCTTGGTCAGCAAGTTCCTTGGTTGGCAGCTTGCTTGGTGGGCAATTTTCTGTATTACTCAGCTTTCCATCCCTTGGCCCAAACCCTCAAGATAATCAGCTTACACAAAGGAAAGATGTTTTTTGACTTAGAATCTCAGAGGTTTCAGCCCATGGTTACTTGGCTCTGTCATTTTGGGCATGGCCTCTCTCCCGTAGTAGGAGTATATAGCAGAGTAGGCCTGTTCACCAGGAAACAAGAAAGGGCCGGAGTCCCAGCATCCCCTTCAAGGGTGCTTGCCCGCTGACTTTGATTTCCCCCAAGGGGCCCTACCTCCTAACTGTCCTACCCTGAGAGCACCGTGGGCTAGCTGGTGACTAAGGTCTTAAATGTGCCTCATGGAAAACATTTAAGATCCAAGTCATGGCATTTTAATAGGAGTGAAGGAAAGTGGCTGGTTTACCATCTCAAGGAGGCGTGAGAGCTGGGGGCAAGGTGGGGTGAAGATGTCAGAGGTCCCCAGGTGTGGGGCCTTTGCAGAGTGTGGTAGGAGGGCCGGTCTGAATCCTGAGAGTAGTGTGGAGTCCTGCGATGTTGTAAAACACAGTGACATGGCCAGATTGGCACTTTGGAAAACTCCATCTGGCCACAGAGTGTGCCACTGAAGAGGTTAAAGGACCTGGAGCTACAAGCTAGTCAGGGACTTGGGACCTCGCTCTCTGCATTCCCCCTGACCCTGTGGGACTCTGGGAAGGCCATCGTGAGAAGTGCGTGCATACACTAGGGAGGCCATGCCCATCCTTGTGCAGAAATGAAGCCAGCTCTGTGAGGAGCTAGTGCAAGCAGAGGCCGCAGACAGAAGACTTGGGTGGAGCTGGAGAACTTGGTGTCTGGAAGGAGGGATTGGGCCAGCTGGTCATTTCCCCAGAGGGTCTTGAAGTCCTTTGGGGCTGCTTTAGTGAGTGGCAGAGGGTGGCGTGGTAGACAGGGCTGGACCTCTTCTGGTTCGTACTTGTGGGATTTGGAGATGGACGGACTGAGGACGTGGGGCAAGCGTGTGTGACTTTGTCCTAGTTCCCTCCCGTTGCAGGGCTAACAGATGACCTGCCCCTCGGGGCTGGGTGCAGGTCACATGATGAATGCCCGAGACATCCTGGCACTCAGTAGCATTCAATAACTAGCTGTTGTTTACTCTGGTGAGGAAGCCTGAGTTGGTGTCTGTGTGAGACTGTGAGGCTGACCAGACCACATGATCTTAAAGCTTCAAAACTTTTGTTTATTTAGAGTCTGCAAAAAGTGGCTGTGAGGGACCTCAGTGAGACTGCATTGGGTCATTTGGCTCCACCTTCATCTTGCAGAGCCAGCTGACCTCAGATTGCCGAGAAACTAGAGGCCATGTGCATGTTCTGTGTGGCCCAAGCCTTGACTGAGCAGAGGCTGGGATGAGCAGGCGGCCCACGTCACAAGCCCCACCTCGAACTGTTTACAAGACTAGGGAGACTCCACCCGGGAGGTCTCTACCAGTTCTTCTGGATGCTGCCTCTTGCCAAGACAAGGGGGCCTCCCCTGGCTTTGACCTGCCCTCTTTTGCTGAGGCCACCGGCTGTTCATCCTGAGAGTTGGGTGCAACCAAGACCCCTTCCTCTCAGAACCGTGAAGCATTTGTTCCAGGCTCTCCAGAGACCACACCCAGTTCACGTGCGTGCGTGTGTAATTTTTGCTTCAAGCTCAGCGACAGGACCTGCCCCATACCCCCTCCTTACCCCTCTGTGAGGAGTTATGGGAGGGGGCTTCTCTCCAGCAGAAGAGAAGGATGGGATGTTATGACGTCACCGTGATCTGGGACGAAGGCCACCCCAGCCGTGTCTGAAGGGCCCCAGCCTTGAAGCGGCCCTCAGCCACCGCAGTTAGATGTTTATGGCACCAGAGGTCTGTATTAAGGTAGCTGTCTGTTGCTAGGCAGCTGTTTGCACAAATCTTGGACATAAATCCAACTTGAGGATCAACATTTTGTGACTGGTAATTTTTTTCATGCCCTCACAGCCAATGGGAGGCTGTGTTTCTGGTTCCGGTCCCTCCTTCAGCATTCCTTTCCTACATACCCCTGGGAATGTTGCTAACATCTTAGAGGCACCCAAGGGTGGAGGGAAGATCCTGGGCAGGGAATCGGAGGTCTTGGGGCTGGGGCGAGCCTTAGTTCGGCCCTTCAGAAGTGACACTCTCTGAGCCCTCGATGCCCTGGGAAAGGCAGGTAAGACCGAGCTGATGTGAACTTGGTTATAGACTCCAGTAGCTGGACAAGGGCTGCAGTATGGACCTAAATAGAAGCCAACTCACAGGCCCCAAAGCACGCCCCGCACACTTCATCTCTTTCTCCTTCCTCACCCTCCCTGTCTCCCTCCCCGGTCCCCACCTCCCATACCAGGAAGCCACCACAGGTGAGCTGAGCTGCTGCAGAAAAGCCTTTACTGGGCAGACGGGGGTGTGAGGTGCCAGTGGACAGAGTGAGAGAACAGCATGTCCTCCAGAGGAGCGGGGGCAGTATCCCTGCCTGGGAGCCTGAGCCTGAATGCACGAAGGGCTGGCCCCACAAACAGGTTCGGGGGAGGCCCGCCCACAAGGGCTTCGGGCCCCTCCTTCATGGAGACACCACCCCTGACTTGGGGTACATGGCCATCACGCTCACAGTTGCCGTGGCTCTTCTCAGGAACACTGTGGGATGGGGTTGGGGACTCGGGAGGGCCCTTCAGGAAAGATGAAGGAGGCTGGCAGTGTAGTGAACCCAGATGTGTATGAGGACTTAAGTGTGGGCATGTGGGGGATGCTGGCCCCAAGAGTGATGTCCAGGTTTGAGCAGGACTGTTGGACCCAGCACTGGTGTTTCCGCCGGGCTCATTTGGAACAGAAAGCTGGACAAAATAGAAGTGTATAGTTCCCCCGTACCAAGCTGTGAGCACGGGTGTCCATCCTGGGTATCAAGCAGGCAGGCACACGGCTGTGTGGCCATGCACACACTGGCACAGCGGGCACACGTGTGCACAGCGGCACAGACACAAAAGTTGTGCCAGGCTTGTCTTACGTAATAAGAAAGGGGTCTGGGGTGTGTGCAGAATGATTGGGAATGTGGGTTCTTCCTGAAGAGCCCCTCTCCAGCCCTTGCATGATGGACAGGGTGGGGGTGGGGAGCGGCAGTTACTTCCATCTGTTCCCCAGGGCTGCCTGCCGCCGCATGTAGGATAGGATGTCCATCTTGACGTTGCTGACTGTGGTCCGGTGGTACCAGCGCATAATAGGTATGCCATCCGGCCCCACCAGGAACTTCTCAAAGTTCCAGCGGATGTCATGGATCTTCATGGGTTCCCAAAAGAGGCGGCCAGGTGAGCCCAGGAGCTCCGCGGTAGGCGGACAGGAGTTCTAGTGTCGGGGTGAGAGGGGTGTCAGCCTGTCTCAAGGCCCCCTCCTCATCTCCCCCCCCCCCAGTCTTCCTGGGAGAAAGCTGATGAAGGGCCCCAGTTTAGGAGCTAGAACACTTGACTGCCCATCTCTGCAGTGACTGGAAGGTTGTAGGCCCCTCGGATGCCCCTGTGCGTCCTGCCTTATCTGTACGCAGGCTGAGGGACCAGAGGGTCTGCCAAGCCCTCTCATGGGAGTCTTAGACCAATGCCAGGACATTCCTAGGGGCTTAGGTGTGTGGGGTGGGCCCCGAGCAGCTGGGGGGAGGTCCTCCAGAGGACCCACTCACCTTCAGGAAGGTGTAGAACTTCTGCTCCTTCTCCCCATTCACATCTCCTTTCTCAAAGAGCTGGAAGTTAGGGACGAAGCCCCCACCTGGCCGGACATACCTGCAAGGAATGTACTTGGTGGGTCCAAAGGAGCCCCACATGACTCAGAAGTGAGGCCAAGGAACTGAGGGGAGAAGGAGAGCTGGGAATCTTACCCAGTGGCAGCTCATTACTGGACACAGACAGGCCCAGTGTGTGTTTGCCATCTCGGTCTCTTGTGCATCACCTCACACGCCTCAGGACTCCCAACTAGTTACCCATGGCCTTCTGTTTCCTATCCCCTCACCCTCGTTCCATTAAACCCCATCCTGGGATGGGCATGGGGCGGCAGAGCGACTGAGTGACTGGCATGGAGACAGTCAACAACCTCTGCAGCCTCGCACGCCTCTGCCCCATAGAGGCCCACCATCTCCAACCACAAGAACTCACTTGAGACTGGGTAGGATCTCCGAGTTCTCGCCCGGCTCCTGTTTGCCAAATTGGTTGCAGGGGAAGCCCAGAATGACGAGGCCGAATGGCCCAAGTTCTTCTTGTAGTGCATTCAGTTCTTGTCAGGGAGAGAGCAAAGAGCAGGTGAAGAACCCGCCTCATCACCCTGCTCCCCAACCCCCTCCCTCCAGATCACTGGAACCTCTGAGGCCCAAAGGAGGGAGGATTTCCCCAGAGTGACCCAATGAGTCAGTGGCAAGGCTGGGACTCAGGTCCTGTCCTGATTCCAGTTCTGGGGACAGTGAGGTTTGGGAGAAGAGTCAGGAATGTGCTTCCTCACGTCAGTAGTCATAGGGCCAGTGCCTGGGTTAATCAGCTAAGGGCTCTTCCATCTGCCCTGGGCAGATTATGAGGACTTCTTAGGGCGGTGGTGAGGACAGGATTCACATCCCTCCCATCTGGGAATTCAGGAACCCAGGAGAGGCCCTGGCCAGCTCTCCAGTTTCCTCAGCACCCCTGGACTTGGGTGTAGTGCTAGCACCCAGCCCATGTCTTCAAAGATGTACTGCGCTGTTCAAGGAATGGACAAAAGCATGGGCACAGAGCTTCAGATTCTGCAAATCCAGGAACTCCCCCACGGGTGCCAGACAGGCAGCCAGGGTCTGTTTGGCTCCAAAACATTGCCCGAGAGTTGTCAAGCTTTGACCTGATTGTTCCCTTGGGAACACTGAGAAGAAAGGATAGAGGACATTGACTTAAGGAGACGTGAGCTCCAGGCAGGTGCTGGGGTCAGCCATCGCCAGCCTTGTGGCCCTAGTTTACACATGCTGGACCTTGATGCCCTGTCCTGTAGGAGGGCTGAGCTAGACTTTTAAAAGTTTGCTTAAGAATGAACTGTTGAACTGGTGTGGTGGTGGGCGCCTTTAATCCCGGTGTTTTGGAGACTGAGGCAGGTGGATCTCTGAGTTCAAGGCCAGCCTGACCTATAGATTGAGTTCCAAAACAGCCAGGGCTATGTAGAGAAATCCTGTCTCCAAAAGACAAACAAAAAAGAACGAACTATTGGGTGCTACCAGCACCCCATACCTCTTCCTTATCAACCCCCTCCAGGGCTCCAAGCCAGTGGGACCCACTCTCCAGAGTGGAGCCAAGAGAAGGGCACAGGTGGAGGCTTGAAGGGAGAGGAGGCGTCCTCACAGTGAGCTGCGGCCATGGTTTCTTACTCCAGTCAAGGGAAGCAAGCAAGCTCTCGGCCAAGATAGCTGAGGTGTGGTGTGTGTGTGTGTGTGTGTGTGTGTGTGTGTGTGTGAAGAAGGGTAGCTAGGAACTTCCCAGAATACGTCCATCAGACCTCAGGCTTATATAATTATCTCCAGAAAATATGAAATACAGTGGAGCTGGGATATGGACTTTGGTCTCAGCCACCATCACCCCTTTCTCCTTGCACCCTATGGGATTAAAGTATACCCAAGTGGACAGGAGAGATGGCCTAGTGGTTAAGAGCACTGCCTGCTCTTCCAGAGGTCCTGAGTTCAATTCCCAGCACCCACATGGTGTCTCACAACCATCTATAGTGGGATCTGATGCCCTCTTCTGGCATAAAGTTGCACATGCAAATAGAGCATGTGTATACATAAAATAAATAAATCTTTAAAAAATAAAGTGTACCCAAGTGACAGGATCGGCCCCAAATTAAGCAGCAAATTAAAACATAAGGGAGATCTTACCAAGGTATTGGTCTGTCAGACCTCAGTAACTGGCTACATTGACAAAGAGGACATATTTTCCGGCATATTGCTTAAAAGGAATGTATTCCTCTCCGTCGATGGTGAGGGCCCCATATTCATAGATGGTACCACTCATGCCTCCATGGCAGTCCGTCTGGAAGAGAAAAAGATGGACACCAGGGAACATTAGAGTGGAGACACTTAGGAAACACACCTCTCCACCTCCCAACAGGGAGAGAATGACTTACCCAGGACAGCAGAACCTGGATCTGGACTAAAACCGACTCTCCTAACTCCTCATCCCCTGTAACTGTGAGACGCTAATAAACACTCAGTATTTGCATTAAGCACTTACTGAGTGCTGTGGAACCCTGAGGTTAGCGATAATCACTTCCATATTTCATAGGCAGTTGGGTTGGGATGAGGGGCAGAGTTGGGTGGCTGCTGCAGTAGTCCAGGCAAATATAAAGAGGCCTGTGCCTGTGCTAGGTAACTGGGGGGGAGACGCTGGACAGAAAGGATGTGTCAAGATGTTGAGAATGAGTCAGAGTCTCCCAGTCTGGAGGGCACGGGAAAGATGAGCTTTGAGGAAGCAGGGATGGGAGACCAGGATTCAGGAGTATGGAAAGGTTTGTCACGAGGCCGCAGTGTGAGATAGAATAGTCTGCAGAGATGAACAGTATGATGATATTCCTGTCTGTCCAGCTGCCACTCCACGATCTACTCCAGGAAAATGAGGGGAGCCCAGGGCACCCAGGTTCCACTACAGCCCTGCACCAGCTCAGTGCCATCCCAGACTTCACCTCACCCTGAGAGAAGGAAAGGGACCCAGTGCCAGCCAGCAGAATGTCGCCCTATCCCCCACCCCCAACAACAAACCCCCAGGGCTGCTATGGAAGCGGGAGAGGTCATTGGTTCAGTAGGTGGGAGGACCACATGGGAAAGGAAGACCACTCCCTCTTCCCTTTGGTTCTGGAAAACTTGCTGCCAAAGCAAGGTCCTCGGGCGGACTGGGTGAAGGAGCCCTCCAGGCAGCAGGGCAGGGGCCCCTCCCTAGTGGGATGCCGC